TAGTTATTTAATATAGTAGGTATAAAAAGAACCTAATAAATCATGTTCCATAAATGGCCTGTGGGGATGGTTATAGTGTTAGGATATGGGTCATCATCATTTGAGCAAAACCCGGCTCCTATTATGGTTCAAAGGAGAAATGGGACACTATAGTGATGTAATAGAATCTACGAAATTTAGGTATGGAACCCTGAAACCGGTTGAAGATTACGTACGTTAAGATGTTTAAGTATTTAATCTGATACAATATAAAGTGCTCTCTCTATTAAATTTAAACGTTGAATTAAACTTTGGAATGAGTTTATTCAAATATCCTACTAATTATAAATGTGAATGTTTGTGAGGATGGATGTTTGGATGTTTGTTACTCTTTTATGTCAGAACGGCTGAACGGATCTGGATGAAATTTGGCGCAGAAATAGATTATAGTCTGGAATAGCACATATGTTACTTTTTATACCGGAAAAATGTATGGCTGGGATACATTTGTCTTAGTCTAAATACGAACCTGAAATGAAGCGTGGGTGAGTTGCTAGTATGTTATATAAATATCGTTATTTCATAGAACTTACTTCTAAAAATCATTTACAGTTATTCACTTTAAAACATCCTGTCTGTAAATTAGTGACTGACCTAACGAGCATTTATGTTGTTGCGTGCTAGATTGCAAACCATGTCCACGATTTTATAATAAACTATAAAAAATATAATAAACGTGATTAAAATAACTTGATTTAATATTTTATTAAACATTTATAAATATACATATAAAACCTTGACAATAGTAGTATTCAGTTCTTTTAACGTCCCACTGCTGGGCACGGGTCTCCCTTCAATACAAGGGGGATCAGGCCATAGTCCACCACGCTGGCCAAGTGCGGGGTGGCGGACTTCACATGCCTTTCGAAAACTTGTTAAGTTCTCTCAGACATGCAGGTTTCCTCACGATGTTTTCCTTCACCGTAAGGCAAGTAGTAATCATGTTAGAAATGATTCGCACATGAAAATATCAGAGGTGCGAGACCCGGGATTTGAACCCGCTTCACTCGGTTTCCCAAACGAGCGAGAGATAAAGAAGTCCTTTAAAAATATGACCAAGATTAAAATAAGAATCTAGAAAATTCATAAGATTATTGCTGCTATATTTCTATGAATGCATTAGTATTTCATTTTATTAGGAAATTTTGAAGAGAATGTAAGGTGCAAATTTATAACGTGACACGGATAGACATTTATGTAACAGTCTCATCCGTAATGCAGATAAATGTATGTTAGTATAGTACGATTATATTTTTACTAGCAGGACCCGCGGTTTCGCTCGCGCTAAAACTACATAAAAACTCTAAGAAGTAGGTTTCATACAAACTTTCATCCCCTATTTTACCCCCTTTGGGATGAATTTCGAAAAATGCTAAAACATGTATTTATTTAATTGTATTGAAGAGCATTACTACCAAGTTTCAAGTAATTCTGATCATAAATATTTTTTGGATTATATTATAACGTGGAAATGAAATTATCTTCCGTAGTGAAAAGTTGCCTATGTCACTCTCCAGTCTTCCAACTATCTCTATACAAAAAGTCACGACAATCTGTCACTCCGTTTCGACATGAAAGAAGGACAAACAAACAAACAAACAAACAAACTCACTTTCATATTTATAATATTAATTATGGATAAGCATTGAAATGCAGTACTATACTGCTGGTTTCAATATTTAACAATATTTTAGGTGGTTAGTAAGAAATAGTAAGTATTCTCATCTTTCTTATCTATTAAGACACTTAGATACTTAAAATTAAGGCCTAAAAAAATTAAGTCATCATCAAAAAAAGCTCATAAAAATTGCGGTCTCTCAAACCTGATTAATTTAGAACAAAAATCATAGAAAACTACAAATAGAACACGCTAGAATAGCTTTTGCCAATCACAAAGTTGTTTACATTCTAAAGATTCCAGAAAAATCAAGTAACCAACAAACACGCGTAGCGCTACCCTTCCTACCTTGACCTGATCTAGAAGGCGGTGTGCCAAAGCCGTGAATACAAGAAACGTCACTTCAGTACAAATATCATTTGCAGTTCTATTTCACTATACTTAAGTAATTCTAAAAATATATAATACTAGCATCGCCCGCATCTCCGCCCGCGTTCAGATGACCAAAAATCAAATTTTTAGGTTTAACATATTAGTATACTCTTACATTGCAGTTTTTGTATTTTTTCTCAGAAATGAGACATTTTCGCGTGGTAAAAAGTATCCTATATGTTGACCCGGATAACCAGCTATCACCATACCAAATTTCATCAAAATTCCTCCTGTGGATTTTCCGTGATGCGGTAACAGACAGACAGACAAAAATTCTAAAAACTATAGAATCGGCCTCTGTATCGATAATAATACCTATTTCAATAGGATATTCCAAAAAATATTTAATGTACAGTTTCGGCTCAGTTACAATTTTATTATACCTATGTATAGATTTTCAAAGTATACTTACCTATACAGTATCCGGTTATCCGGGTCAACATATAGGATACTTTTTACCGCGGAAAAATATATCATTTCTGAGCAAAAATACAAAAACTGCAATGTAAGAGTACGTATACTAATATGTAAAACCTAAGAATTTGTTTTTTGGTCATCTGAACGCGGGCGGAGCCGCGGGCAATGCTAGTATATAATATTAATTTGTTATGTAAAAATGGGATTTATACAAGTGTTTCCTCACCACCTTGTACAAAATGTTAAGGATAATTTTAATATTTTAACCTTTATTAGCTCGTTACATATTAAGTGAAAGGTGGTCAATCGTTGGTCAAGGAGTTCTGCACAGATATTCTACAGTATCATAGAATTGCCTCGAAACATCAGCTTAGTTAACCATCTAAAACAAATATATAATTAAAAATTTGATTTAGTACAAGGCTATATATAATTATGTGCAATTTTTTATAATGAATAGAAGTTAACAAAGTATAAGTTGGACCTAGTTCAGGTTGTTTTTTTTTTATTAAACGCCATTGTTTTTTTCTTAGCTAGCATTAGATTTCAAATATTTTTGTTATATAAAAAATCATTAAGATTTAAAAAAGTTATTAATTATAGCCGTGAAAGCTCAAAAAATTAGTTATCTTTTTTAAATCTTTATGTGTGGCGAAAGATTAATTAAAGCTAAACACAAGGTTTTTTAGAGTAAGTTCTTTTTGTATATATAATCTGTTGTACTTTTTTTTTAATTTTGAATAACTGTGATTCCGTTCTTATTAATATTATTACGGAAGTTGTCAGATAAGGCAATTTCTTTCGACTTAATTCACAAATATCAACAGCTTATTTTCGCAAAAGGTTAATAAATATAATTAGCCTACAACCTTCCCAGATAATCTCTCTTCCTATTGATGAAAATCGTATGACAATTATACAGTAATTTACAGTACAGATTAGACCGAACAAACACAAACCCAATGCGATGCGAAGCGGCAATGGATTTAAATTATAATATGTATCTATGTATGTACTGGAAAATCGCAATAAATACCCTACAAAATAAGCACTGAGAGCGAGTCCGATATTCCAACTCATACTTACGAGTAGGTGCTTAGTCACTTCTGTATATTCAATATTTAATATTTGTTCCGGTCTTCGTTGTTAATATTACCCATACATTTTTCTACAAGGTAAAACAAAAAAAAAATTCTTCGAAAGATACTTTTTTTAAAAGAATGCCCAATAAAGCTTTATGTGACTGTAAAACAAGAAAAAGTGACTTAATAAGTTACTTAAACAATAGTATTCATCGCTTAAACCTAACTTAACTAGTATCTGAATTAAGACCTAATTATAATTTTTTATACTCTCAACATTCATGCAGTATCTGTATCGTGATATAATAAACAACCAGTTTTATTACGAAATAAGGACATGCATCCATGGACATGCTATATAGATTTACATATATACTAAGTTGTTTATAAACAAGCGTTATATGAATAATTTTAATTAAGCAAGCACCTTAAGTAATGATATTTTTAACCTCCAAATCGTAAAAAAACCATCAATCTTTTGCAATAATTTACAAAAAATATGTATTCAACTAGTTTTGCAAGATACGTTTTATATTACGGCACACTTCTTTATCGTTAGAACACGTCCGGTTTTACAAGCAGTTTTTACAAAGAGAACTCCAGAGTCTAGACACTATAAATATAGTTAATACATTTACACCGATAAAATAACCTTCTGTTCTTATATATATATATATATATATATATATATATATATATATATATATAAGTGTATATCTACAGTGACCCTACTAACCGTACCAGCTGTCGCTGGTTCGAGTCCCGTTAAGGGCATTCATTTGTGTGATGGCACGAATGTTTGTACTCCAGTCTTGGGTCAGTCAGTTTATATTCATAATATATATTTCTATGTATTTAAAGTTGTATATGTGTAGTGTATCAGCTATCTGGTATCCATAACACAAACCTCAAAGCTTACTATGGAACTAGATGGTGCTGTGTGTTAATGTTCCAAAATATTTATTTATTATTTATTTATTTCTATGTAAATGGCAACAACGTTTATATGGAATAGTAAATTTTAATTTAAATATTTATATTGGATAAATATTCCTTGAACATTGTGGCAAAGCAAAAAGTTAAGATTCAATTTAAATAAACGTAATAAAAGATTTCTCAAATCTTAGAGGTAGGTACTCCATTGATTTTAAATCAATGATATGAAAACTGGCATTCAAATACATATTTCTATATTCTCAAACAGTTTCAAACAGCGGGTGTACTCGTAGTGCGAATTGAAAAATTATTTTTGCATTTTATAACCTATTTATAGAAGAAGACTGTTTAATATAACGATACGGCCTTATGGATTAGAGCAATAATAACATAGACTACGCAAGCGGAATCGCGTGCAAGACTAATGTCTCAAGATCCAGAAAAGGCAAATCTTAACAAATATTATTTTGTTTCAGATGGGTTGCAAGCTCACGTTTGTGGACGACGCTTTAAACCGATCGTTTTATAAACTCGGTTTGTTCGTCGGAAAACGACCAGGTTATTTCATAATAATACCTGTTCTCCTTACACTCCTCATGATCACAGGCTATCAAAGAGTACACTATGAAATGGATCCCGAATACCTGTTTTCGCCTGTCAGTGGCCAGGGAAAGTTAGAACGACGAATAGTAGAAGAATATTTCAAAGTGAACTATACGCACAGATTTAATGTAGGACGTATTACAAGACCAGGTAAGTTGTAATTATAGCTTTAAATATACTACTTTAGAAAATGTACTTGTGTGCAGCCCTTTTTAACCGACTTCCAAAAACGAGGAGGTTTTCAATTCGTCGGAATCTTTTTTTTATGTGTGTTCACCGATTACTCGAAGACGCCTAAACCGATTTGGATTTTTTTTATTTTGTTTGAAAGAGTATACTTCCCAGGTGGTCCCATATAAATTTTATCGAAATCGGTCGAGCGGTTTTTAAACAAATTGTTTAATCGAATATGTTATTAAAAACTTTCTTCCTACAATTACCTGCTTATTACATCTACACTAAAAATATAAAAATAAAAACTTAAAAAAAACCGACTTCCAGGCACTAAAATGTAAAAAATAACTAAACGGGGGTTTTCATTTAGAATAGATACCTAATCAGATATTTTCGAAGTCGGTGCCAGCGGACAATATTTTAAGATATGAATATCTAATAGGTAAATATATATTTTACGTATCAAAATATATTAAATTTCCTATGCGTCGGCTGGCACCGACTTCGAAAATATCTGATTAGGTATCTATTCTAAATGAAAACCTCCGTTTAGTTATTTTTTACATTTTAGTGCCTGGAAGTCGGTTTTTTTTTAAGTTTTTATTAACATACCACTCCTAGGCACGTGTCTTCCTTTAATACGAGGTGGATCAGGCCAGAAAATGTTATTTTAGGTTATAGTTACAATCTTCTCGTGATCTCTGATAATTGAATAAATTAATTCTAAATTAAAAGTTGTCGAGATAAAACACTTATATTTCTTCTAAATATATGTAATTTCCTTCAATTATGTATAGAGTATGCGTGAGTAAGCTGTAAGTAAACTCATGTATATTTTTTATATTAAATATAATAATATTACCACTAAGTAAAGCCTTGAAAAAAAACTGTTGTTGAAAAAATAAGTCGATTGAACCAAGTATTCATTAACTGCAAGTACCTATTATATATCGTTTTGTTTAAAATCTTTAAACATTGTTACTACATATATTTTTTACGGCTTTTATGGCCGTTTGTACACTTTACCATATAGGAAAAGTTGAAGATAAAAAGAGGAAAACGATATCGTCTACTAAATTAGGCTGTAAGCTAACTCTATTATCATTATTTATAGGTAGATTCGGGCGAGTGATCATTGTGTCGAAAGATAATAATACAAATATGCTTCGAACTGAAGTGTGGAAGGAGCTTCGACAGCTCGACGAATACGTTCAGAATATTACCGTAACTTTGGCCGATGGCGAACAATTCACATATAAAGACGAGTGCGCGAAATGGGAAGGACAATGCTTCAGTAACGATATTTTAAATTTAGATAAAATTATTGGTGAGGTAAGATATTTTCATTCATCATTTTCTTATTTACTTAACTTACTTTTGAAATAAGGAAATATTTCTTGCAAAGCTAGACAACTCATTATAGAGTGCACTATCATAGTATATTTTTCTATAGGAATACTAACTATCGGTCTTTAATCTGTAATGTCATTGCGATAATTTTTAAATATATATTTAATCTTCATTAATATTTAGTCATAACATTTTCTTCTTCAATATTCATCGATTCGATTTAATCGATTCACCTTTATAAAATACCAATGAGGGAATAAATACTAATAATCGTATGCAGCCCTTTTCAGCGTCCCACTGCTGGGCACGGGTCTTCTTTGAATACGAGGGGGATCACTGATCAGGTTATACTTAGTCCACCACGCTGGCCAAGTTGGATTTTACATGTAGAAATCTTTTGAATTTTATTACAATGATTCAATTAAATATATAATAACTAGCGGACCCGACAGACGTTGTCCTGTCTACACGTCTTTAATTTGAAAATTTCAAACTTTTTTAATAATTTTTTTGATGAAAATTATTATTCAAATTGTGAATCTAAACCATTCCCAGATCCCCTTGAACACACACAAAAAATTTCATCAAAATCGGTCCAGTCGTTTGAGAGAAGTTCAGTGACATACACACTCACAGAAGAATTATATATATAAAGATGTTATAATATGTCAGTAAGAAAATGTATCTTAAACAAAATACCATACACGTATGATTGATGCGGTGTAATGATTCAAACTATTGACTGACCATTTTCAAACAATAGTTATTACTCACGTGCTTACTAAAACCACTGATCGTTATCAATAAAAACCTGCAAAACACAAGGCAGGTGTTCTTTGTCAATTTAATGCAACAATTGTACCGCCACAAAAGTTAATAGGTAAATAATATACCAGTGGTGTAGTCACAATATGTGATGACAAATTATCATTATAGGCATTATATTATAGGCATAACTCTATTATTATTTATGGTATTCTAATACATAGTTGTAGTATTTAGTATCTTTTAACGACCCACTGCTGGGCACGGGCCTCACTTTAACAATGCAGGTTGGCAGATTTCACATGTCTTTCGAAAACTTGCTAAGCTTGCTTGCTTGCTCACGATGTTTTTTTCACCGTATTATAATAACTGCTACTACATATTTCAGTTCCTTTTATGTATTTTAAATTATTTTTCTTTATTGAAATCAATTCAGAGCCTTTTAAAAAACATTCAACTGCTGAGCGCTCGTCTGCCGTCCATTCGACAGAGATAGCTATAGCCGCTCGCTGCCCAAAGGCGTTGTCTAAAATAAGTCAAACGTACAGGTTTTCTATTGTACCTGAATCTAATCAAAATGAAAGATCTTTCTTAAAGTATTCATCTCTATAACTTGTAGTTTATTCTTATTTTTTATCGATGTTTATTAAATAGCATAGTTTTGCCTTCATAACCACGCGTAAAAAGTGACACAAGAACGTCAGTCAAACACTATTTGTACCTATAGCTTTTTTATTACTTTTCGTCAATTCGAGTATTTTACGAGTATATCTTCATACATAAATATAAGTATTTATGAAAATGTTAATTAACTTATTAAGTTACATTTTTACTAATCTATACTAGCATTATAAAGAGGTAAAGTTTGTGAGTTTGTGTGTTTGTGACGTTGTAGGGGGTAATCTCTGGATCTATTGAACCGATTTAAATGAAATTTGGTTAGAAGATAGTTTCAGACCTTGGGAATGGCATAGGATACTTTTATCCCGGAAATTATCCCTTAAAGGGGGTGAAAATGGGGATGAAAGTTTGTATGGGGAATCAAGCTAGCGATGAACCCGAGCGAAGCGAAGATGAGTCGCTAGTTTATCTATAAACAACGATTAGGTACTCTCCTATGGGTCTACCATAATTAAAAAAAACCATATCCCCATATACTTATTCTTTAACTTTCCTCCATAATCTTTAGACAAAACCATAAGTGTTGCTATTGTAATAGGTACTACACTACACGTTACTTAACATTTTCCTTAAAAGAAGACATATTAAGGAAATAGTCCACATTAAAGTTAGCTATAGCTTAGACAATGAATGTATGTATATTTGTATTCAGAACATAAACTATCCATTATAAGAGTTTTAAAACCAAGGTTTCTTTATTTACTTCTTTAGTGCCATTAAATATTATTATATACTATTTTTATGTACAATAGACAGTTCATTAAGGTTAAACGACAGATGTTCATAGAACAACATTTTTGGATAACACGTTATTTTTTGGCTACAATTGCTTCTTTACTAATGAAAGCATTTAAGGATAGTTTTAAAGCATGCAATTTTTGAATGTGGAATTTGATAAGAAAAAAATTTAATTTTTACTTCTTTTATTGTAGGTCCTAATTTTATTTTACAGACCAATCTCTATCTTCTCAATTATTCGCGACATTAGCGAAATAATCTGTACTCTACTGACACGTTTTTTCAACCATTAACAAGAAAATTGAATTGAACTGAAAGCATTTTCACGAAAACTTATATATTTCAGGTCGAACGAGGCGAGTTAAATCTAACATTTCCTATAATGTTTAACCCTGTGACGTGGGAGGCTCACGCTTTTCCCGTTTTCTTCGGGGGGTCGAAAGTGGTAGACGACGTGATAGAGTCAGTGCCCGCTGTGCAACTTGTCTGGTTTATTAGAACGGACAATATAATACAAATTCAACGGTAAGTCATTTAAGTATAATACTATTTTTTTATATTTCTGTCTCTTTTACTTTTGCTTACTATCACTATAGTTATTTTTAGAATTAGGGAAATAACGCACAATTCGATATTTTCAATCAAGTTTTGTATGAACACTTAAGAAAGAGCGAAAATCCTTAACTGGTTATATTATTAATGTTGTAAATAAACAAAGCCCTGCAGAAAAAAGCTTAGTAATATTGATCTTAAGCAAAGCTTTACACTTTTAGCTTTTACTGTGTTGTGTAAGGAAAAATAAGTCTCTTATTTGTACACGCTTATTTTGAAATGAAGACAATTGTCCATTTAAGTTGTTATATTACGTATATTTATAATTAAATTTAATAAACACAGCAATTCTTTTTATTTAGATAACACCTTTAACTAGTAAGTATTGATCCGAGGCATTTGTATAGATTAGTTAAGATATGAAGCCTTTAGCGAAAGTTGAAATAAAGAATAATAGACTATGGTCAAAATCTCAATTCTACAATAATTAAGTAAAAAGATTTATTAAAAACACAAAGCCAGCTTCAAAGTTAAATTTAAATTACGCCATCGTCTGATCCAGTCTATTTATATGAGAAAATCCTCTTCAAGTATGTTTCTTATACTTTAAAACCATTAAAATACAGAAAGCTATCTCAGAAACTCAAATCAAGGTAATAATTTAAAACGTAGATAAAACTTGGGAGAGCGATTAAAACACGCGAGCGTCCGCTAGTTCACAAAGTGATGAATATTAACCATACAGTATACACGCAATGTGAGGAAACTTAAGATAACTCCCGACGTGATTAGTCTAAAAGAAAAAGCATTAAAAATTTCATAATATTGTTATTACACCCATTCTAGTGCACTCTAAATTTTATGACTTGTTTTCAATTTGACGACACGATTGGCTCAGTTTGTAATGACCCTACTTGCTGCGCCAGCGTTCGCGGGTTCGAGTCCCGCTGGGGGGCATTCATTTGTGTGATGAGCACGAATGTTTGTACTCCAGCCATGGATGTTTATATTTATAATATGTATGTATTTAAAAAAAAGGTTATATATGTATAATGTATCAACTATCTGGTATCCATAACACAAGCCTCGTAGCTTACCATGGAACTAGATGGTGTTGTGTATTAATGTCTTGACAAAAAAAAAATAACACGGCACTTAACAAAGAAATACTAGCGTAGATATAATAGATCGATCTTGACACGGTTTAGGAAAGTGCTTCTAATACATAACACTGTGAAACATTTAGTGAGAATACGAATAGGAAACGCTACTGATATCAAATGAGATCTGCTAAGCGATTGACTTGACGATTTTATTACTAAACTAGCATTGCCAGCGGCTCCGCCCGCGTTCAGATGACCAAAAACCAAATTCTTAGGTTTTATATATTAGTGTACTCTTATATTGCAGTTTTTGTATTTTTTTTCTCAGAAATGAGATATTTTCCCGCGGTAAAAGGTATCCTATATGTTGACCCGGATAACCAGCTATCACCATACCAAATTTCATCAAAATCTCTCTAGTGATTTTTCTGTGATGCTGTAACAGACAGACAAAAATTCTAAAAACTATAGATTCGGTCTCTGTATCGATAATAATGTCTATTTCAATAAGATCAATAAAATTTTCCAAAAATTATCCGGGTCAACATATAGGATACTTTTTACCGCGGGAAAATATCTCATTTCTGAGAAAAAAATACAAAAACTACATTGTAAGAGTACTATACTAATATGTAAAACCTAAGAATTTGATTTTTGGTCATCTGAACGTGGGCGGAGCCGCGGGCAATGCTAGTACAAGAATAATAATTTCATTTATAGCTTCAATTCAATTTTAGAGATAATCGAATATAGAATAAATTTTACCTCTAACTAATGCAACATCGATTAATTAATGATTTTTACAGAGGCGCAGCATGGGAAGACGCGTTTTTAGATGCTGTGGGTGTAGCCGAAGATACTGGACGTTTCAAACACATATCGATCGCACGTTTCGCATCACGAACCCTCGACCACGAGCTCGAAAAGAACACTAAGACAGTGATACCTTTCTTCAGCTCCACGTTTATTCTCATGGGAATATTTTCCGTAGTAACATGTATGATGGGGGATTGGGTCAGATCAAAGCCATGGTTAGGCTTACTAGGTAATATTTCTGCGGTGATGGCAACCGCTGCCGCTTTTGGTTGCGCCATTTACTTGGGCATATCATTCATTGGAATTAATCTTGCTGCGCCATTTTTAATGATTGGTAAGTCTTATTTAAATATATTTACATAAAATACCGTCTAAGTACCAAAAAAATATAATCTCTTTACATATAATAAAACTGTAGAGGTCGAATATCTGTACATAGAAAAAATATGCTAAAAACCGAGTCAGGGGGATGTAAGAAGAGAAATAGAACAAATTCAGGTTGTTTCAAGTTTTCTGTTTCTCTGTCTGTTTGTACGGGCTAATCTCCGAAACTGTTGAACCGATTTAGATGAAATTTTGCGTGGTAGTACCTTATATCCACGGTCCACATTTTACATGCTTTTCATCCCGGAAAATTAAAGACTTCCCGTGGGATCGATTTGTTTTCGTTTGTCTTCGTAATAATAATATATAAGTTATTACACAAAAAAGAAAACGAATAAAAGGAATTTGTAATATACTTTAGTCATTGTTAAACAAAAGAATAATTTCTAGGAATCGGTATTGACGACACATTTGTAATGCTGGCGGCTTGGAGACGCACCTCGCCGATGCTCCCCGTACCGGAACGAATGGCAATAATGCTATCTGAAGCTGCCGTTTCTATTACAATCACTTCTGTGACGGATATGTTATCTTTCTTCATCGGTATCTTCTCGCCATTCCCATCTGTGCAGATTTTTTGCATGTACTCAGGTACGTTTTCACATGCCATTGTTCAACAATATTTTTAGATAGATAATATTATTAGTTAATATATTATTCTAAGTGTTCATATATAAATGTTTTTTTCAGATTTTTAAGTTTCTAACAATATATATATATATATATATATATATATATAATATCACATTTTTACAATTCGATTTTCAGACCATGTTTTAAACAGTTGGTTACCTATTCTTTTTTTTTTAATTTGATTTTGTTAATGAATAACACAAATACAAACCAGTGGCAATAGCTCATAAAAGTGAGGTGAAATCATACTTAGTATGTACCTAAATAACCTTCGTTTTATTATGCTTATGAAATATTGTAATGTTTATTTCAATATCTTTTCTTATTTTCTTATTTTTAAATAACTTAATTGAATAGAATTGTAATTAATTCTTACAAAGTCAGTTATTTTAGATAAATAGCTAAAACATTATTATTTATATTGAATTATTGTTTATTCTACAGGTCTTGCTGTGTGTTTTACTTTTGTTTGGCATTTAACATTTTTCGCCGGATGCGTTGCTGTCTCTGGATATAGAGAGAAACAAAATCGACACACAATCACGTGGTTGAAAGTTTTACCAGAGTCTAGAGCGAGAAAAGGTATTGTTAATTATTTTTTTTTAAGAATGATGATGATTATAATTTTTTCTATGCAATATGCTAATAACAGATTTTATCCCAGAAAATAATTACAAGTATTAGAAATAAAAGTAGGTATACTAAGTATCAAGCTTTGACATCGTGCTTACGTAGTTATAATATGGTAGCACTCGAAATATATTTTTTGTTTACAATTTGGCATATTTGACCAATATGACATTTATTTTATATGCTATTTAAAAAGGTACCTAACAAACGAGTTTATCATATATACCTGATCATTGTTAAATGTACATATGTATGTTTTCAGAAGAAAAATCGTGGTTGTACAGAGCGTTTTGCAGCGGCGGCATCGACTCTGCGGATCCAAAGAATCCTATAGACAATAAAGAGCATTGCATTATGGCATTTTTCCGTACGACCATGGCGGATTTACTCAATAATAACTTAATCAAAGCTTTGGTCATAGTAGTATTTCTAGCGTACTTGGCTGGCGCCGGATATGGAGTGACCAATTTGAAAGAAGGCTTAGAAAGAAGAAAGCTGTCGAAAGTAGACTCGTATTCTGTGGAGTTCTTTGACCGTGAAGACCTTTATTACAGAGAATTTCCATATAGAATACAGGTAACATATATATGTATATAATAATTAAAAATACAAATATTAATTTCTTAATTGGTTATCGATAAAAATTTATTATGTTTTTATCGATAACTAATTTGTACCTATATAAATGCTGTGTTCTACGTAGATATGTAACATTTTTTAAAGGTGACATAAAAACAAGTCTACATAAATACTGTCAGCTGTTTATCCTTCCTACATTATATATGTAATTTTTTTACACTAAACTAAGGCCATAAACCAGCACACACCAACCACATGGCCAGCTTTATAGTAAGCTGGAACTTTTATAGTTCCAGCTTACTATATAATATATTACAATATCCTGGATATCACTCGCATATTACAATTCGAGGGGTGTAGGGAAACGAGATGTTCAGGGAACTGGAATGGTAGATGTTAGCATTCTCCGGGTTTCTCACTCGCCAAATGAAATACTATGTTCTAGAAAAGACTTTCCCCAGCTAAACCGGCCCATTTTTGCTACTATGAGTAAAGTTACACTAAAATAATTCTTCGGTTTTAGCTTTTAGTACCTTTAAACAAGCAACGAAAACTCGTTTTATTACATAGAGCTATCATCTCTATTTATAAATTACATTGGCATAGGTTGAGGTATTTAGTTGTACCCTGAATCGAGGGCATCCTTATTTAGGCGAGGTAGGCCCGCGAGGTTTCTTAGATTAGGCCTTAGGCCTTCCGCAGGGTTGTTGTAGTGTGTGCACAAGCGATCCTGCAACGCCCCATTGCACTGCGGCGACGGTTTCCGCTGTGGGTTTTAGTGAGTAGGAGTCTCACAGTACCTTGCCCGTTGACGGCGGGCGGGGTCCCCATGATGGGTTTCACCAGCGATATCAAATATATATATATATATATATATATATATATATATATATATATATATATATATAGTTGCATCCTAGTAAACACAAATGAGTATAAACTTGTTCTAAGTGTCTATTAAAATACAAATACCCGTTCTAGGCTTCAAAGTGTTTCAATAGTTGTTCAGGATCACCAATGTAACCTAATAATCCTATTTCTCTAAGTAACTAATAAAATTGTTCTTTTGCAGGTGGTAATAAGTGGAAATTATAATTATTCCGACCCGAAAATTCAAGATGAAGTTGAAACTTTAACGCAAACTTTGGAAAATACGTCGTATATATCGAACTCATTGTACACCGAATCTTGGCTTCGCACATTTGTCAATTATGTGGACAGAAATAACGATTATCTAAACGTATCCATCGAAAGCGAAGAAGACTTTATAGCAAATCTTAAAGAAGTACGGTATTGTTTTCTATAAACCATTCATTTAACATGTTTTGTAGTTGCATTTGTAAAAAACATACATACATATTTATTTTAAAGTTACTTACAATATACGCAAAAATAACAAATTTAATACGTACATACGTCTTGCTGTCTGTTACTTTTTTACGCTAAAACTGCTGAACAGATTTCGATGAAATTTGTCAAGGCCGTTGATGGCAACAGGGAAATATAGGCTACTAATATAGGAAAGAGTAGTGCAAGGACGATATTTTTTACCAAAAACACCCCCAATTTAATAGGACTTTTACAAAAATGTGAAAAAGAGATTTGATTTCTTATGAATGAAGTACTTAGAATTAGCAAAATTAATAACATAAAAAACAGTAGTTATATTCCGATAATCGGATAATTAAATGAATTATTAATAGCATAATTGATTATAATCGCATGAGTAATTCTTTTAATTATGTAACCAACACGTGATTGTTTTAAACACTTACTTATTATTTATTATAGCTGTGGTTATTTCCGGCCAACCCTTTTTCTCTGGACGTCAAATTCAATGAAGCTGGCAACGAAATAATAGCTTCGAGATTTCTAATTCAAGCTATCAATATAAGCGGAACAAATCATGAGAAGGAAATGGTAAAGGCTCTAAGAGAGGTTGTTGCTCAGTCTCCACTCAACGCGTCTGTGTTTCACCCTTACTTCGTTTTCTTTGATCAGGTAAGAAAATATTATCATAGCATTGCAAGTTTAAACTTTGGCGCTTAGGGCTTTCTCCTGCGGCTCCATTTGAAGTTGATAAAAAATAATGATTCAATTAATAAATTAAAAATGATTTATTGGTGAATTTATTTAGAAACGATTCAGTACTATCAAAAATTATTCCGCCTAGAGCAGATATTGAATCACCGACTACTTACGACATACCAAAAACATACATTACCATAAAAACTATTGCGCTACAAGTGTTGTCGACCCTTTTTTTGCTCAACGGCGATTTAGATATTTTATTTTTTATATTTTTTACACACTTTAAGCTTAAAAGGTAGGTATAATGGTTCATTAATTGTAATATTATCTGTATTTTTTTTTCAGTTCGAGCTAGTGAGACCAACATCCATACAAAATCTCTGTTACGGAGCGTTAATGATGATGATAACTTCCTTCATATTTATACCCAATATTCTCTGTTCATTATGGGTGGCCTTCAGTATAATATCGATAGAAATTGGCGTGGTAGGCTACATGGCCCTCTGGGATATAAATCTTGATTCGATATCGATGATAAATCTAATAATGTGTATAGGCTTCTCAGTAGATTTCACCGCACATATTTGCTACGCGTATATGGCGTCCAAAGCCAAGTATCCGAGGGAAAGAGTTAGCGAGTGTCTATATGCTTTAGGATTACCTATTGTCCAAGGATCTTTTAGTACAATTTTGGGAGTGGTTGCGTTGCTTCTGGCTGACAGTTATATATTCTCCGTCTTCTTCAAAATGGTATTTATGGTCATTTTCTTCGGCGCAATGCATGGTCTATTTCTGTTACCAGTTCTTCTATCACTGTTTGGACCGGGATCTTGTACGCGGGAAGATAAGTTGACTATTTCTAAAGTTGACAAATGCTATCCGAACCCATATTGTATACCACATCCACAGTTAGTTCTAAAGGATCAAATGTTCAATGGCAAAAACGTAAATCCTAATGGAATTTACAAAATATATGGAGATGACAAAGATCTTGGTATAGGAACATCCGGAGAAGATACAAGTGAGAGCAGTTCAAACCAGTCCCAACGTAGACAGATTAGTAACGAAAATAGGAAAAAATTTGACGATGGCTGGAAGAAATACAACTATTCTCATAGTTCGAGCCAGTTTCAACCTTCAGGAGAGTTAGATTTATATGGGCACGAGAGCGATCGCACTTGGCAGAAACAAAGGAACCAACTGAGTCATGATTATAGAAGCTCAGGACGTGATAATGAATTCTCAAAACGAAAGAACAGTGATGGAAGTCCACAGCCAGGAACATATAGAGTGACGAGGACTCACTCCCATCACAATCTCCATAGAAAAACTGCCCCAAAGCGTTCAAACTCCCACCATAACCTCGAACACTTAGATTATGTCGCAGAAATGCGCTTTCCTTGACATTAACCGAATAACCTCTATACAAACTAACGTAATTAAAGTGCTCAATTGTGGACCAAAGTATTATTCTCTATGAGTAAAAAAATTGTATTTTGAATGTTTTAAGTATGTTTTGGATCTGCAATGGCAAGTCAATTTAGAATAAACCTTTATGGTGCCCTTTGATATAGGAATGAGTAAGATATAGCAATTTCTATGGGGTTAGTAATATGTGGAACTCATAAGGAAAAGATAGTTCTAAGTACATAATTCATATGACAGTATTTGGATATAGGAAAATAAAAATATTTGAATGACCATCATTTTAGCTCAATTAATTATCAAAATTTATCAAAATAGCTGGTTTTATTTATTATTAATAGAAAAATTATAATGAAAAACAATAACGTTTTTAATAATTTATTGACACTTACGAGTTCCTAAGTATATAATGTAAACACTATTTCAGTCGAATTTGCTTACTCTATTAATACAACTAATATGGAAAATAATAGATAAGATTTATTATTAAGATGTTTCTATAGTGTGATAATTAGACATCGGATTCATAAACATTCCAGAATGTTCCAATAACAATATCCTACAATGAGTAAAGGTTTGAATTTAAATGATTACACGTGACATATTTGTATGAGAAACAAACATTTTGTTGTAAAATTAAAAAAAAATTACCGTCTTCCAAAAAGAAGTTTCTATGTTTGTCTGTCTTTTTTATCTATGTGCCAATTTCTCGTATAGAATAGCTTCAACATTTATAATCCGATGTCTAGTGATAATTATAGTTAATTTTGGTTCGGGTATAACGTACCTTAGGGATGTGTAAATATTTTTTGTATTTAAAGTTATTATTGTATAAGGTCTCATTGATTTACGAAGCTTTAACGTTACCTATATCTTATAGATGCTGTAAATATTAATGTGATACATTTCAGATGCCATGTACCTTATATAGGTACTTATACAGGTGGACGATTATGAATATCGATTAAAATCGTTTATCTAAATCGACATTTTGTCAAAATTGTAAACTTAGTTATAAAATTAATCATATAGAAAAAAAACATGTAAATCGATTTCGAATTTACATTCGATTCGATTGTTCGTAATCACCCATCTCTAACTTGACTATCGTGGAAATATTTTACATTCTGTATAACAAAAATAACTAGATCTAGTTCAAACATTAACTCGTGACTCGTCACATATCTGACTGAATATTGTAAATATTTGAACTGTTTGTATTAAATAAAATTAGTTTTGATAGCATCATTTGTTTTATTAAAAATCTCAACTTATTGTTTCTATAATCTATTATAATGTATAAGCCGATTTTTAATTAAAAAACGTGTGTGTGTGTGTACTTATGTACGCACGTAAGAAGTTATACTTTTTTGGCGTAACAGAACAAAAATAGCTAAAGATTTCATCCCGTATGTCACAACATACAGCAAACTTAATCATGTCGCTTTTTAGCTGTCGGTGTGCGCGCGCATCGTAAAAATTTTACTCTCATATTTTTTTCCAAACGTGTCAAAAGAAGTATAACTTCAATAAATAACTTATGCATTATTTATAGTGGAATTTAACTATAATATTTAGTTATAAGGTCTATGGGATATGTGGAAGCATATATGTAAGTCTTGCATTAAAGTTAAACATGTGGTTTAGGCCATTATTACTGTAGTCTAATCTCTATCTTACACCTTCATTTCAGGCTTAATAAAACTTAACATAAACACGTCATTTAAAATACTTAATAATAAAAGTATGTATTATTTTACAAGTAAGACTAATAATAGTCAGTAAAAAGCAAATCGATTTACTGTTGATAAAGTATTGGCACATGAAGATACATTGTGAAATTAGATATATACTAAAAATTTTATTATTTCTATGGACAAAAAATATATTTGGCTTTGATATTTTAAAGGTGTTCTATTAGTTCTTAGGCAACACAAAATAAAGTTATTATAAGAGTAATGACAAAAAGGATTTATATCTTAATTTATCTAACACTATTACATTCCAAGCGTGAATAGAAGAATGCAGACAACTGTTTCTATCTCTTTTCTTTTTGACATAATGGTTAACGCCGGCGCCACACGCTCGCCATTTGCCACAAACTTCAAATCTTTACAAACGCGCAAGCGTGTGGATACAAGCACTTGCTGCATATTTCCTTTGATTTGTGCACATAAATCGACACGATCGGAACGGCCTGAAATACTTGTAAACCTACCAAGCTTAACCATATTATGTATATATAACCTATCCACAAGCGTGTAGATCTGGCATTAAAATTATCTCTTTTCTTACTACTGCTTTTGTGTGCGTGTGTGTAGTGAATAACTAACCCACACATATAAAATAAAGTTCTCATTTCTTAGAAATGCTTTTACAGCATATAATAGTATTAGATATGTTATGGTGCATCTGCAATTGTCACTTAATATCTCGTCTTTAACAAAATCGACCAATTAGCAACAATCTAAAGCTAAATTAATATAAGAATCAAGGAAGAGTTGTTAATGTAAAAATGAATTTAATCGTTCTCAAAATCAGAATCCAGCCTCTTACATAATTGTAAACAGAACAGTCCATATTTAAAATTTTATAACTATTATAATGACTTGTCATACACTTTCTTTAGAAGATCACTACAAAGTAAAACCAAATCTTTAGATTCGAAATTATCGCACAGATAATCTTTGATGATACAGAGCTTTCTGTTAGCATTGTCTTTGTTTTTCGTGTCATGTTTACTCTGTTCTTCTATTACTCTGTTGATTATGTTACTGGAGTTTGTTGGTGTGAGTTTGTTCATTAATGTGTCAGTTAGATCATTGAAAGACAAATTGTCGGCGATCCTTAGTTTTGAAGCGTCATCCATTTTCTCACATAGCTTTTCAACGAAATCTGTCCTCTGAAATTACAAAAATAAAAATATGAAATTATCTTTTATGGATTGTTGGTTTTTTTTTATATATTATTTTTTAATAACTTTCTGTGAGAGAGCTATTAAAAAATTACAAAAATTAATATGGATTGTTCTTAATATTACAATAAAAATATTTAAAGAGTACAAAAAATGCTTTTTAGTTTACTTGGACTTGCTTTGTAGTTACTTCTGAGCTATGTTTAAAATATACTCTAGAAAATTGAAAAATTAATTTAAAATATACTAGTAAAAAAATTACTTTATATTGAAATAGTTTTAGAGCGACATTTAGTAAATATTTACGAGATATAACTTTTACGAAACTTTGTATGCGAAAGGTTTGAAGTTCAGTGATGAGTGACGCATGGACGAATATTTGAAGTTTAAATCAAACTTATATACATTCACTGTATTATTTTTTAAATTAAGTTTAGACATAACTATTTACACAACGATTGATTGCATTTATATGTATAGCACGTGTTACAATGATGGCATCTATTCTAGCACAAGTCCTACATCGGTAACGTCTGCGACCGGACTGGTTTAAGCGGTATTTTTTAATAATTTTATTAATGTATTCAATAAAAAAGTACACATTAAAATTAAAATAAAAACATAATATATTCAGTTTTTTTTTCTAAAATTGAATATGGAATTTATAAAAACGAAATCTGTACATGAAATATCTTTTTAAACCAATTACTGTTACATATTATGTATAGAAAACAGACCCCAAAACAAAACTTAGTAATTTTTTTATAGGCTACAGAAAAGTCCGTAATAACATATGTCTATCTCCTAACTTACTACCATATATATCTACTTATAACGTACCTACGGACCGAGCGAAGTGATGGTAAGTCACTAATAAATGATAAAAAAGCACTTATGTTATGTATACATATAATTAAATTCTAACCAAGTCGAATCTGTACATTAAATATTTTTTGGAACATCTTATTGAAATAGTCATTATTATCGATACAGAAGCCGAATCTATAGTTTTTGGAATTTTTGTCTGTCTATCTGTCTATGACCGCATCACGAGATAATCACTGGACACATTTAAGTGAAATTTGGTATGATGATAGCTGGTCATCTGGGTCAACATATCGGATACTTTTATACTGCAGGAAAACATCTCATCTCCGAGAAATCTACTCTAAACGTTACACATATCTGAATATTTTTAGAATAAACGGTTAAGAACCCATAAGTTCTTTATTTACCTTTAGTTAAATACCTAAATTGACTCGGAACTAGAGTAAAGAAACTTACCTCAGATATACAATTAGATATAATATCAGTAGTACTACAACTCCCCGATTGGTCGGTCTGTACACTGCAACTTATAGCTAAAGGCAGCTCAGTTTGTGTAGTATTTGATTGTATCACCAACTCCTCAGTTTGCATTCCCATATTCTCAACTAAAACATTAGCTTGAACTTCCACAGACTTATTTTCAGGTACATCGGTTTCTTTGACCAGCTTTTGTTGGGTTATTTTATTCAAATATTCTATTAAAACTTTTCTTGCTGTCTGTACTTTTGGTGTTTTTATACACAGTCTATTTACTTCTAACTCTGTTAATTTCGCCAAATCTCCCACTGTGTCTATTTTACCTTCGAATTCTTTAATTAACAATACTTTCATGGCTGGCGATGATAATTCTGTAGCAATGTTTGATATGGAGTCATTACAATCAATTAAATCGGGACATAATGGGTCTATATCATTTAGATCACTTGTTTGGACTACTTCCACTACAGGAGTTGCTTCTGACGAGCTCATTTCTGTATCTGGTGTTGTATTATTGGAGAAACTTTCAACAGTTTTTGTTAAAACAGAGTCCAATTTGAAAACGTTTTCCAGTCTTTTAGGTGATTTTGTAGGTAGTTGTGATCTAAGGAGTCTTTCTTGTCGCTTTATAGCAGAGTTCTGTGGAGACCTCACACCGCATGGCTCGATGTACTTCTTAACACATATGGTAGTAGATACTGGTGGATCGTGAAAACTTACTCGTTTTCTCTGAAACGTAATTTTTATTAGTTAATTACTTATATATACTGTTCATTTTATATCACAAAAGAGATAATATATAAATATTACATTTAACATGTTATAATTCTACTTTTTATTAGCAAAGAACCATATGAAAATAAGTTAATTAATGTTTATTATTTTATTAAGAATCATTACAAAAAATCGAAAACTAATTGCAAGTTTTCGATATATCTACGCACAAATAGACTAACGCTAGTTAAACACATTACTTTTATCTTCTTGCAGTCGGGTAAGAAACCATTCAATTCAATTAAATTTTCTTGTTAATGGCTTCAAATACATTGTCATAACTCACCTTGCTGGCTGGTGACGCAGTCGCCTCATCAGTGATATCTGCCAACTTCCTTTTCAATATAGGCCCCGAAGGACTGCAATCCGTTGAAGGCAACAATCTCTTTAATCTAAGGAAATTCTCACTTCCCTCACTTTCATCGACACTTTCACTTTGCTCTGAACTAGCGTTGTACATAATTCTTAAATTCCTTCGAGCTGATGAGTTAACGGATGGACTTTTCTTATCATCATCAGAAATAAGCATATCTGGGACGCAAAGCCCTAACATTTGTGCCGCCCGACCATTTGAACGGACTTGAGGTCTGTTCTTCTTCAAAGATAAAGAAGAACTTGGACTTGTATTATTTGCATTAGACTCTTCTCTCACCGGCGATTGGTCTCTTGGAGGAGATTTTTCTTCAGTAAATATTTCTGGCGATTCACACTTTTCGAACGGCTCCCCATTGCCTTGTACTGGTGAGGATAATTTAATTACAACATAGTCGTTGCTTTCTGGAGGAGATTTTTTTTCTTTAACCGGACTTAAGGTTTTTATGGGTGATATTTCTAACGTATTATTCATAAAGTCCATCTTCCTTTGCTCTTCGTCTTTGAAAGGAGAATCTTTCGCCAATTGAGATTCAGACATAGTTTTTGTGACGTCATCTGCAGTAGCCGATAATGACGCAATTATTACATCTTTATCCATATTTGAGGTATTTTCGCCTACGGGAATATTCTCTGTGTTATCGATCAGTTCTATGTTATCATTTTCAGCTTCTTTTACAAAAGTTTGTGAATCTAGGGTTTGTGTTATGGCTTCCGCTGTATTTTGCACGTTTTGATCTGGTTCAGTTTCATTTACGGTTTGATCTTCATCATCATTTATAACAATAATATCAAAATTATCACTCATCGGTTCAGTGTCCATGTTTTCTGTTAAATCTATTAGCATTTGATCATCTACAGTCCTATTGCGGGATAATTCTACATCATCTTTACTACTAATTTCGGCGTCATTTGGTTCGATGTCATCGATCAAACTCTGAGTTTCTTGGCCCTTCGAATTCAGGTCTTCTAGAACGATAACCATGTCCTTTTTAGGCGTTTTATTTGATTTAACTGATATTGTAGTTATTGCAGATTCTTGTGAACTTTCAATAACGTCTTGAGATTCTAGAATGTCTTCAGTGTTGTTTTGTGTTTCTTTGATCGATACAGATTTATCTTTTTCATTAACTTTTTTTTCGGTTTTATTCTTATTTGATTTCTCTGTTAGATTTTTTCTTGTACAAGGTGAATTTAAAATAGCTTTTCTGGTGAGCCGCTTTTCAGGTTGAGATGTGTTTAAAAATGGATGCCCTTCAACCATGTCTATTGCTAGTTCCTTTTCAATGCGAGATTTTTTAGAACTAGCCTTTTTAGTTGAAGATTTTGGAACGTCTGTTAAATTATTTTTCTCTGTTTTAGGTGTAGACAGATTTTTATCAGGTTTAGATGTAGATAGATTTTTGTCAGGTTTAGGTGTTGAAAGATTTTGGTCAGGTTTTGGTGTAGATAGACTTTTATCAGATTTTTGCGTAGACAGATTTTTGTCAACTTTAAGTGCTGATATATTTTCGTCAGGTTTTGGTGTAGATATATTTTTGTCAGGTTTTGGCGTAGATAAATTTTTGTCAAGTTTTGATGTAGATAAACTTTTGTCAGGTGTCGGTGTGGATAGATTTTTTTCAGGTTTCGGCTTAGGTAGATTTTTGTCAGCGCTTTCGGCGGGCACTTCCGGTGTTTGAGTTATCGTTTCTTGTTCTTCAATTTGCATTGCATTAGAATTTAAATCAATTTTATTTTCACTTGGTTCTTTAGCGGTATAATCAGTATTTTCCATTTTTTCATCTAATATAACATCAGCTTTAGATGGTTCCATAGAAACATCAGCGCAAGTCTCATTTGTATCGGGAATAGATGTTTCTTTAGGAACATCTTTAATTTCCGTATTTGTGGTTCCTTTTGCTCTAATCTCACTAACAGCTTCATCATTTATAAGTTTTTCTAAAATATTTACGTCTGGAGAATTATTGCCACTTGATTCACCGTCAGTTTGAGAATCACTTTGGCCTAAAGAATGGCGTCTCTTTTTTAAACCAAATATTTGTAAGTCTTCAAATTTTTTGGGCTTCCTTTTAAGTCTTGATGGTCTGTCTGCACTAATTAATGTTGGCGCTGAATTTATTACGTTACTATGAAGTTTCGATTTAGTTATTGTTGGCGTTTTCGGTATATTTTCGGATATATTAGAACTAGCAATACTATTTTCATTATTTACATTAGATTTTTCCATTAAGCTCTTAACATTTTTGAAGACACGGTCTTTTAACGCAAGACGTGGTGACTTTGTATCCCTTACAATTTGCAATTTATTTGAATCATTTTTACTCTCAGTTTTACTATCCATCTTACATTTATCTTTCGCAGTTGTATCTTCTGAATCGACTACTTTATCTTTACCGATAATGTTCTCTAATATTTTTGGAACAAATTCAGAACTTGGCATATTTTTCAGGATTGTTGTAACATCATCATTACCGGGTGCATTATTTGATTTACTTGTAGTAGTTGTTGTGTCTTGGGAATCTGTTTTCCATGCATTCATTTTGAATTCATCTTGAGATTGCGATAAGTCTTGATATAAAGCTGGTATGTCTTCTCTTTTCCTCTGAAACTTTTCTTTTTGATTATCTGTCAATTTTCTTGGGTTAAACTTCCAATTGGACTTCACTACTACGAATTCTTCGCCATTTTCAACAACAGTATTCACAATATTGGCCTCTTTCCTTTTAGATTTCTTAGCAACTGGTTTCCCACAAGGAGTTGTGAATTTATTTTGCTCCAACTTTTGATTTTCATCATTGGATTTTTGTTCAACATTTTCGTTTAATATTTCAATAACCTCTTTAACTGAAGCGTCGTCTTTACCAGTATTTAAGATATTAAGAATGTGTTCTCTTAAAGACTTTTTATTTTTAGCAAAGTCAGCAAAACTCTTTAATTCATTAAGCAAAAGTGTTATTAGTTTTGAATAGTCTTTGTTGTTCAAAAACACTTTTAAATTTTCAAATATTGGTTCCAATTGCATAATATGATCCTCCTAAAACCAAGTAAATATAAATATGACAGTCAGAAATGTATCACTATGTATATTAAAGTTGAGGCACTCAATGAAACTGCCATAATTTCGTTAACTAAGTAGGAGTGCATGTTGAAGGTAGTTTGTATGAATAGAAGACACTTAATACCGCTCAACTGCAAATCGAGCAATCGTAATTTGCATGGGGGCCATTTTGAAATTGGCAATCTTAGTTTTTATTATGTTGTTAGAGCGACGCTAGAAATAAACATTCTGTAAAAATTTCAACTCTAGATTACGGTTCATAAAATACAGCCCGATGACAGACAGGCAGGCGGGCGTACATGAAGGCTTAGTAATAGGGTCCCGTTGGCACCCTTCGGGTATGAAACCCTAATAAAAAATTATGCACTAAAATGTTATGTTACCGAGATAGCCGAAAATTGCCACATGAAACGATGATATTCATTAAAAATTAACTAATTATGTATAAAATGCCCCATGTTCTAACCCCATAGTTCTCACAAGGCTATATTGCTGATATTTTTTATTTGTTTGAACACTCTATTCATACAAACTGCATTCAATATGTGCTGCTGTTAACGATTAGATAGAAAAATTAAATGGAGGAGGTTGGCTAATGCCACCTTCCATTGGAAAATTTTTAAGCTAATTTTGAGATTAACATTAAAATTATCCATTGTGCTACTTACCGACACGTTTTCTTTAGTACATTGCTTAAATAACTTAAGCATGTGTTCAATAATGAGTATCACATGCTTTGCAGTGACTTCGCTTGTCTTAGCACATAAATTTTTAATCATATTTATGACTACTTGGGATATATCTGGATGTATATCTTCAATATCTTTGTATACATTTACTTTAACCATCGCCTTTAGAAACCATTCAGCTTCATTTTCAAAATTGCCATCTGAAAATAAATTAAATTCTATATAATCTGTCAAATAACAATGGAATATTAATATGTAGATATTTTGAGCAATATCATATTACTAAAGAAACATCAAATATCTATAAAAGTAAATAAGCATACCCAAGTTGCCACATTGGAAAAATAATGTGCAATACATACATCGAAAAATCCTACTATGACTTTATAATAAGATTAACACCTGTATTACCGTTTAAACGAAACTTTTGCATTACACATAATTTAAAAAAAATAAAGTACTACTAAAAATACAAAAAAGAAACCAATTTGGTATTAAATTTACTATTCAATATATTTATAAAAAACTTAAATAGAATGGAAAAGTTTAGTTACTTTATCATTGATGTCTCACTGATTTTACAATGGCCAGTAGATGGACTATTGCCACCAAGATTACAGTGAGAGGGTCTCGGGTAGTGTCTTAGCTTATTTCTTTAAGTAGATTGATTTCAGCACGCCTTTCTAATCATTTATTGCTCAATATATACAAAATATCTTTCTTTAATATATTTATCTATACACACATACCATTTAAATCAATCTTTTTTTGTGCAGCTGTGATTGAAGCATTTATAATAAACTTGTTGGAAGTCACACTACCGTCATGTGACATGAGTATTTTGAAAAGATCATCATTAATGGATGTTTTATATAGTTTAGTATATACAAATTTGTATAAATTGATCCATGCTGAAGTTGCAAGTTTTTCCTGAAAACATATTATAAAATTCTAAAATTAGTAGATAAATCCACCAAAGTACTTTATTTTCAAAGATTTTGGACAGATTCATTCAACCATAATTAATTGAAACCGAGTGAAGCGGATTCAAATTATGGGTCTCGCGCCTATTTTCTTGTGCGAATCATTTCCAACATGATTACCACTTGTCTTACGGTGAAGGTATACATGTTGAGGAAACCTGCATGTCTGAGAGAGCCAGGCAAGTTTTCAAAAGACATGTGCAGTCCCCTCGCACGTGGCCAGCGTGGTGGACTATGGCCTGATCCCCCTCTTATTGAAGGAAGGCCTGCACTCAGCACTGGGACGTTACAAAGTGCTGAATATGCTAACAACTATAATAAATATCACCTACATTGGTAAATAACTCCATATATTGTAAGGGCCACAACAGCATTTTACATAGCATTCTTTGACATAGATCATAATACTTTGCACACATTGTCTCTGCTAGTGCCACCCAGAAGATCAGGCCATTTGATGGCAAATCCTTCAATATACTCTCAATTGTGTGACTTGACGCAGTAAATGCTTCACTTATCAAGAGATTTGTTAAAGGCTTCAGGTTATTTATTGTTTGCCTGAAATAAATGAAAACATTAAAACCATTTTAATTTTAATAAAAAAATTACTGAATTTAATTTAGTTTAATTTGTCCGTTATATTGACTACTAGTATTTATTTATCAAGCTTTTTGTGATGGAAGCTTGATTTTTTAAGTTTAATAAAATTTAATATAACAATAACTTAACACATCACCATCCATATGGTCCACGTTTTTGTTTTTCCGTCTTAGCAAGTGCTGAGTGGAATTCATTATAGGACATAAATATAGTAATTTTATAGTACTACCTATCATATTCTTCCATTCCAGTTTTTGCACACACAAACATACAAAAATATTGTAAAATCATCTTCAAACTTATAAGGTATATATTAAAAAAAATACAAGTAACTATACAAAAATATTATTTATTTCTTACCTGTAATCTAAGTTATTAATTGGCAGTTTTAATATAACTTGAACAATCTTATGGATTGGTGACTGCTCATCTTTTGTTAACAACAAAGGCCTTATTCTCATATTATCTAGTAAGAATAAAATGAGAACATTTAGGATAATATCATTCATTCTCTCGTTGCATCCCTGAAAAGAAACATATACAACATGGTTATCTATACATATAATAAAATTCTAACTGATTGCTGTATGTACATGGAAGATATTTGGGAGAAACTACTATTTAGCATCTTTATTAACCCAAAATGGTGATTTTTAGAATTTTTCTTAGTGTGTCTGTGTGTGTGTGTGTTTTTCACTAGTATTTGTTTTATTTCAATTGGTTTGTTTATAAATAAAAAAGTTATGTCAATTTAAATAATCTCCGAGGGAAGAGAAGGTGAGTCACTAGTAAATGATATATAAAGAGTGGTTTTTTTGAGACGGGAGAGTAAGGATAGGTACCATAACTGCCATAATATGTCAAAAACGTATGCATGGTCTCCTAGGAACGTTTTTCTGTAACTATAACAGTTAAGCCCTTACTGTCCCGTCTCAAAAATCCATTTTATTGATTTTTAAATTATCTGAAATTCGGGTCAAAGATTTTTTTATTTCCGAAAAGAACAACACAACAACTCAATGGCATTAGGAAATGAAAATAGTACAACATAATAGTCAACAATTTAAACAGACATAGCAGCAGCAGTCGTGATTCTCTACTAAATCTGGATTCTTGCATATCACTAAGTAACATTTTCAGATTTTTTTTCTTTTTTAGTAATTTAGTTTAGTTTAATAAAAAAACGCTCGAGGAAGTTTGTAAGTCAAAAATATAGATATTTAGATGCTAATAACTTCTATAGATGGAGCAAGAGTCATAGCAAGGATAAAACATGTATTCCATGTATTTAACTATATCAATCTTACCTCAGAAAGCTTGTCTAATAGTCCTATAACTGCAAGGAAGAGATCTCGTCTAATATTATTTTCTGGTAATTCCCCAATGGTCAATACAAAAGACCTCCAAACACACTCAATCTGTCTGTTTGTAAAATCCTTATTTTCCGCACATATTTTAAATGTGACATTCAAGAAATGAATCCAATCTTGCCAATGATCTACTATTAATGTAGTGGTCAACAATTTTCCCTTTAATTTAGGAAAATTCACACATCCTTCACAACTTGAGTGACCATTTATATTAATAAAGGCTTGAACGCACTGAGCTTTTGTCTTTTCAGATATCATTCCAGGTATAAGCACTGGTTTGTCGCATGCAAACTTTCCAAAGCAAAAATATAGAAATGGTATTAATACAATATTTGATATTTTATCCAAGTGTCCATAAAAACGAGTAATTAAATGCCACCATGTATTTAGCTTTGCAAGAGCAGTTTCTTCGACTTTAGCATTATTAGATGTTAGAGGAATAACTAACAATTTTATTCTTTTATTTATGTACATTTCATTTGTTTCTGTAGAGAAGTTGTCTATTAAAACATTCCAGCATAAGAAAGCTTTACATCTATTTTGAACATCCATTTTAAATGCCATTTCGACAACGGGCAACATTGAATTTATAGGACTTCCTGTGTTGCTGGTGCTTTTAGTTATTTGGCTTTTTAACAGTTTAATAAAAATCATCCATAGTCTATGCCAGTGTTCATTGTTAGATTCCAACAAACTTTTCATAACAGCTGGGTATCTAAAAGAATTAAATATTTTTTTATATTAATTTAAACAATAAAAGAAATATAGGCATAAGAGAGTTATCATATAATTTACAGAAGCATTTGAGTTGTTTTTTATGCCTATTTAACAGGTGGTCACAATTATATAGGAATACAGGTAAATGCATATAATTGTGTTAGTTATTTGCTTAGACTTAAAGAAAACAGTTAAAAGAATATAGCAACTAATGTATATAACTATACACCAAGGTACAAGTATTAATTATTTACTCCAAGGTCTACTTGAAAGATCTAGTACTTGAGGTCTAATCTAGATTTTAGCAGTATACAAAAAGAAATGTAGTGTTGTACTAGGCATAACTAAAAATAGATTAATATACCCAAAGCAAATGAATAAATCATATCACTATAAATAGAAACTCACTTTTGTGGGGTGTATATGTTTTCCAGTACAGCCCGCCAATGTGGATTGTCACTGTAATCGATATGCACTAAATCTTCTGTCAACATCTCTATTACATCTAATACTTGAGGGAGTGCTGAAGTAATACTTATAAATGGTATAATTTTTGAAAACCATGTATTGACACCCTCTTTTACAAAAGTTGCTCTCTTTTCTGGCGGCAAGATTTTAAGTAGTTTTGAAATGATATTTAAAATCTGTAATATGCATAAAAATGTCTGTTATATTAACATTAACAAAATAATTCTTACAAAAATTTTGGATTTTTAGAAAAACTATATATTTTCTTTAAAAATTACTTTACTTATAATCTTCATTATAAACATTTAATAAAAATAAATCTTGAAAGATATTTGTGCTCTAATTATTATAAGATAATAATGTAAAAAATATACCTGTAATCTGATTTTAAGAGGTACTCTTTGATGGCAATATAAATTAAATAAATCCATTAATTCATTAGATTGATTTACAACTAATGAAATTAAAGTCTCATCTGGATAGGACACAATAATTTCGAAACATAATGCTTTCAATGCTTCAACTTTGTTAAAAAGAGCAGTAGTTTTAAGTATATGTAACACTCCTACTGCTGAAGGCACTAAGTCTGGCAGAGGTAAAAGTTGCACATCCTAAAAATATAAATAAATATTAATTACATAAATAAAAATATAAAAGTTTAAATAGTTATTATAGAGTTACTATAATATATATAAGCACTATACCTTGATTTTTTTCAATGTTGTAGATATAATATTTAATATGTTACTTGTATACTTCATATCTTCTTTGAGTTCTCGTACACAAATCGATAATAATTTTTCCACCACTGGTATTTGAATATTATTATCTGCGTCCAATGCATTTTGGATAGCTTGATAATTATGTACATTAAATGTATAATCCTCTGAATGGTCTAAAGCTCTTTCGAGGTCGCTTACAATGCAATGCTCCTCAGGCATGTCTAAAAGACAAGTTTTTGTATTAATCTATTACTAAATACGTGGTATATCTCAAACAAGTAAAAAGATAAAGAGTATCCGGTAACCGGTCTATACAACTGTGATCTAATGTAATATATGAAATATGAACAATTTCACCAAAAGAATACATTAATATTACATATTAACTTTTTAAATGTATCAATATAAAGGTAGCTTTAAAGTTACCTATTTCAGATATTAAGTCAACCAAATATAACCGAGTTTAATATTTTCTCTCTAAATAATAGACAACATTATTGACGTTAATAACAGTTCTGGCGCGAACAATGACATCTAATTTATTGCCATTTACCATAGACGAAAAGCAAAGTTGCATTTATTATCTATATTTACAATTGCTCGAAAAAAGAGCGCTACACGTACGATCTATTTACATTCAGTCTTAGGTTAAACAATTTATTATAATATCTCTTTTGTACCTGGTTTTTGCTTCTATTGTGTTCGCATCTTACATGTGCAATATATTGTACCTGAAAGTTAAACCAGCTGAAAGAAGAATTGAGAAGGAGAGATGTATCCTGTGGTAGTCCTGACTGACTGATGGATCAACACACCGCCCAAACCGCTGGTTGTAGAAACGTGAAATTTGGAGAACGTATTTCTTTTATGATGTAGGCATCCAATAGGAAAGATTATTTTTGAAATTCATCCCCTAAGTGGGTAAAATAGGAGATTTATGATTGTATGAAACTCTGTCATTCTTAAAGTGAAATACACAGAATGTGGTGTTAGCTATATGATAAAAAATAAGAAATACATTTATTTGATTTTATCGAAATTCATCCCTTAAAAAGGTGAGAGGGGGTAATAGTTTATATAGGCAAAGAATTATTTATGATCAGAATTACTTGAAACTTGGTATTATTTATTATTACTCTTCAGTACAATTAAATAAATACATGTTTTAGCATTTTTCGAAATTCAATCCCTTAAGGGGGTAAAATGGGGGATGAAATTTTGTATGAAACTCTGTAATTAATTTGTAAAAAAAGTAGTAAGTAGGTATGTCATAGGTAGTTCACTATATACTACAGGATCAGATGTTACATAGTATTTTAAAGAAGAATAGAGTATTCTATATTATTTGTGCGCCATCTAGTGGATAAGAATGAAACTACAGTTCGTGAAGTATGTAAATCACATAGATACACATAATTAATATTTACATATACCTTGTACAATCTGCCTTTTTATATTAACCACTAATTATTCATTTAATTTCTTTTTCTGTATTTGTTGAATTTATAAACTAAAAAAAGTCCACAATTAGTTGTAAATATTTATTGTATGTATAATTGGCTTAAAAGCTAAACTTATTTTATTAAGAGGTCTGTTTAATACGGTGCGAGCGTTTACCTAACAAGAAGAAACAAGCCGACCAAGATTGTGAGCACGACATCTGATGAATGGAACTCGTCTGTATCTGTCTTACAGGCGTTAATCAATATATTATTAAAGCTAATAATTTTTAAAAATAAGTTTTTTAATTTTTAGAGTGAAATAAATTTATTAGTTCCTATAGAATTTCAAGATCAAGACCACACGACACAACACGATATTATGTTATATCAAATTACTCAGTAGCACACGAATATTCATGTACCTAAATATAACATTCCAAATAAGAAAAAACGCCTTCTAAAAACATTCAATTAATGGGTACTGGCTGGGCATGGCTGGGTATGGCATGGGCTGGCTAAATTATTTTACATTTCCGCTAATAACATACCCGATAGTGTATTATTTATATTAGGAATACCTTAAGTTTGACGTTTTTAGGGTTCCGTACCTCAAAAAGAGAAACGGCCCCCTCATAAGTATCACTTCGTTGTCCGTCTGCCTGTCTGTCAAACCCCTTTTTCCCGGGAACGCTTGGAAGTATCTAGTTGACATTAATATCAAATACTGTGAAGAGTGCAATCAATTGGAGCTATGGAAAAATCAACTTTTATGTCAACGCAATCAAAAGATACAGCCGTTAATGCCGCATATTTAGACACAATGGAATCAAAACCTATGCGGGAAGTAGGTGGGCACCATAGAGTATATTGCTACATATATAAAGTGGGCACCTACTTCCCGCTGAACAAAAATCATGAAATTGGCAAGAAGCAATGTCTTCTAGCACAGGTAAAGGGAAAAAATCAAAAACCGTAAATTTGTAGTTAGGTACATCACAAAAAAAGAAAAATAATTTTCTATGGAAATATAGGTAGGTATTGAAAGTGAAACTTCACTGGTTATTATTTTTGAAATCTGTAAGATTAATAAATTAATAAAAAAATTTAATACTCAGACAACATTATAATTCAAACGAATGTCACACAAAGAGTAGAGCATAATATTTTATCTCTTTCTATCTAGCTGGATTCTTACATCTATCGTATATACCTACTCTATGGGACGAACCCGAGCGAAGCCAGGGTAAGCCACTAGTATAAATATTTTGCATATTTGAAAAGAAATTAGCAAAAAATTTTAAGTAACCCCCGACACAAAAAAAAACTCTAAAAAGTAAAAAAATAAAATTTCTGTCCTGGCCTTTTAACTTCATTAAAAGTACCTACCTACCTATTATTATTTTGACAATGCGCATCAATCTTCTTTTCATTTGTATTCTGGTTTTTATTTTATTTACTTACGGTTCTCCGACGCCACCACACTCATCCTATATAACAACGGTTACAATGGCAACCTATGCAAGCGGTTACTATGGAAACCGTCACGATTTTTCGTGACACGACCTAGAAATTTGACTCTCATGCGATTTTTCGATTTTAAACTTAATGTTTCAAGCTACGGAACAGTGTGCGAGTCAGACTCGCACTTGTCCGAATTTTTAATTGGTAGGTACTTCTCTGATAGCAGAGTGGATCGTGAGAACAACCCCCTGGTTCACATATTACTTTCTTAGATTTATGCGCATATTCAACATCTATACAATAATAAAACTGTAGAGGTCGAATATCTGTACATAGAAAAAAATGCTAAAAACCGAATCAGGGGATGTAAGAAGACAAATAGAACCAATCCAGTTTTTTTTTCAATTTTTTGTTTCTCTATCTGTCTGTTTGTCTTTTGTTTGTTTATTTGTTTGTCTGTGTGTTTGTACGGGCTAATCTCCGAAACTATTAGACCGATTTTAATAAAATTTTGCATGGTGTTACCTTATATCCCCGGTCAACGTTTAAGATACTTTTCATCCCGGAAAATTAAAGAGTTCCCGTAGGATAGTTAAAAACTATAGTAACTTATACAGCTTAGTAAACAACAACTTATGCACCAAATATAGTAAAAGGCATGCTGATACCTTACATTACCTGTCAAACAACAGGTTACTTTTTATTCTTGAAAAATTAACAGTTCCCGTGGGATAGATCTGTTTGTGCTTTTCATTCTTTTCATTAAATAAAACGTTTCGAATGCTTTAACGGACTATCAAATGAAAAACCATGTGGTTGTTAATTGTTATGAGTCTGTCTCGGTAAGTCAGCTGTCCGGGCTGCCGGCTGAGGGCGTTGACGTTTGAGTGCCTAAATGATCCTCAACGCCTATGGGAAATGTTCTATTGGGTTTTAGTCTAAGTGAGTAGTACTTATTTAGCCGATGAGTCTCCACATAACCACCTGTATCTATGCAGGTGATATGCGTAAATGCATTTCTTAACATTAAAAAAAAGTTGTATTTATATATGTCCACTCAACAAAATAGCAAACTAATATTAAATTTTAAGCAAAAAAGAAGTACTGACGTAATATTTACTAATACCATGCAGTAATTTGGTAAAATAGGTATGTACTTAAATTTTTGCATATATAACACTCTAATGCACCATATAAATTTGTTTAATAGGATTCGTGTGGCGAAAGGTTTAATTAATCATTACACTATTAAAATTTAAAAAAACATTAGGGCTGTTTTATTTATATCTTCCCTGTAATCTCTGGGCGAAGCCGTAAAAGCATTTTGTTCGAAATTCTAGGCTTCGTGTTATTAGCAACATTCATTTTTAGGAGATTAACTTAATTTTATTTTTTTAATTTAATTTAATCATTTATTTCAGGCAATATTTACATAAGGCTCTTAAATATGTAAACAGAGGCCCATAGCATGTATACCTTAGAACTAAGATATATATATTAATTATAAAAACTTAAAAACTATTTTTTTGGATTAGGTAGATACATTTTCTTTAATATCTTTTATCTATTCAGATAAATAAAATTAAAGTGTCTGTTTGTAATGTCAAAATAACAGCTTTTACTAAATGCAGGAAGCATATAAGGTACTAATAAGGAAAAAAAACATTTTTTTACTTTTGTCTGTCTGTCTGTTCCGGCTAATTTCCGAAACGGCTGGACCGATTTTGACGGAACTTTCACTGGCAGATTGCTGATGTTATAAGGAGTAACTTAGGCTACTTTTATTTTAGAAAGAGATACAGGATTCTGTGCAAAAAAATTAAAAACCATGAAATTGTGAGCAAAATCCGCGTACTATCGATACACCCGAGCGAAGCGAGGGTAAGTCCCTAGTACTTATGAAATTAAAAAAGTCTTCATAAAGAGGTCTTTTGTTTGATATATTACGTGATGACCTTGACAAAACTAAACATTTATTTACTCTATAGAGCATCCAACTCTGTCCATGTAACAAAATATGTTTATCTAATCTTTGTTTGGAATAGACAGACAGACAAACAGACCGACACAACTAAGTGAGCTATAAGCCTTCCGGTAGCTTATAATATACTACGTATAATATTATAATCCAGTAAAAAAATCTATCCTTTTTTGTTTGTCGTTTTATAGACAGTCTCACCTAAAAGTTTAAAAAGGAAATAACCTTAATTATTTGAATACAAGTAGGTAGTTTATGCTCAGTAATTATTTATGTTAATTAATTATAATATAATAATATTCTAGATAACACATTTTAGTCATTTTGCTTACAATTAGGTAGATACATGTTAAAAAATTAAACAAAAATAAAGTATAACAACGTAAATTTATAGCTATCACAAGTAATTGATTTATCATCATTGATTTCTTCTTACTTAAAGAGGTAAGTAGGAAGGTACCAAATTATAAATTTTCGAACCGACTTCAAAAAGGAGGAGGTTCTCAATTCGACTGTATTTTTTTTTATGTTTGTTATTAATAATAAGTAGTTTTCAAAAATGACAATAAATTTTAATAGGTAAGTAGATAGGGATATAGATAACCTAGCATTCTAATAAAACTACTTCCTTCCTTTTAAATATATTAAAAAATAACTAACAATGCGCGATATACTAGACATCTTCGTCATTACGGCCCCACACACAACACACATATCGATTGCTTTGGTTATTCTAAAAGAAGGTGCTGTGGCGCGCACTCGCGTACGTCTTGGCTTTTGTCGTCCATATATTCGAATGTTCAGTTACCGTGTTCGGAATACCAATAAGTTACTAAAGCAAAACACATAAATAACAAGACCATGTTTGGATAGGACGTGCGAATTGTTGTAATGTCGTCCAAATTCGGGAGCTATCACAACTAGTGAGGACGGTTTGAGTTCGATTTTGTGCTAGTATATTCATAATGCCGGGACACACTAACAGTCCGTATTGGACGGCGGTAGACTTCGACAGCGAAGGTGATGATGATAGAAACCTCGCACCCAGTAACAGAGTGTACCTAGATCCTTGGGATAACGATGCGTTTGGAATGATGGAAGAGCAAGAAGGATCACCAGATTCAAGCCAAGCACATAATATGAATTCTTTCGCGGGAGAACCCGTTAGTGCCAGTTTTTATTATGTCCCAACTAAAACTTACGATTCGGGAGAGGAACCGAAGCCTGCTAAAAGAACTATATTCCCAGAGGATGTAGTTACACCTGATTATTCTATCTACGGAAGACGGCCGTCCAGACATGTTATGACTGATTACCAAGATATGCCAGTATACGGCCATATACCGATACGTAAGTCGTATATTTTTTTCAATTACCTACAATATATATTTATAAATACGGTTTGTAAAAATGATTCTTAATTTAGATTAATATTAACATTCAAATCAAAAGTAGATAAACTTGATATGATTCTTCTAATTGCTGTTAATTAGGTAGATTTCTAATTAGCGGTTACATATTTTGTGGCATGCGAGAGATAGGTACCTATTTACTTTTACACGAATAAAGTATTTATATTTTTTTAATTAATTGTAACTGGTTTCACTTTTAATATTTTTCGCAAATTAGTTTTAAATTAAAAAAAAAACAATAGACACTACAAACAACTTAATAGTTTTATCTAGACGAGGTTAAATTTAAAATCAGTTAAGAACATGAGATATAAACAATAAACAATGGTTTTTTGTTCTTAGGGATATTTGTAAAATAAAAAAAATATATTTAGAAATAGATAATATTTTCTTTTAACACACTAATATGAAAAGAACTAAAATTGAACTTGTTACAACCACATTTCTATATGATTGAAGTAAACTATACTTTTTTTAACTATCAGAAGAGCGTAGAAGATCGATTTACAACGAAGAACCTATATATGCCCCTCATCCTATGGTATACGAGAGTCTCTACGCACCTGTACCTATGAATCCCTATATGCATCCAAGATCGCGTATGTCAGTACAACACCAGCCAGATTATACTCGTATTATGGTGAACGGTCATGGCAAGCAAAGAAGACATTCAAGGTAATATTCTTCACATGAATCCTACCATTATAAACCTATAGATATATGGATGTTTGTTTCTCTTTCACGCTACTGAATTTTTTAATGAAACTTGAAAATAATATCTAACATCAGAATAACACATAAGCTACTTTTTATCGCGGAAAAATGTATGGTTCCCGTGGGATAAATTTTTTTTATGTTTTTGCGAAGCGAGGGTGAGCCGCTAGTATAATCTTATAAATGTGATATGTATATCTTCCCTTACTGGTATTTATTTATAAGTTTACTTTTTTGTGTAACAAATAATATTATTAAGCCAGATTTGTCAGGAACAATCCGCGATAGCGTAATTTTTAGGGTTGCGTACATCAAAAAAATAATACAGGGTTCCCCATATCATTGTTGTCTATCTATTCTACTAGAAAAGTTGCATTGTTAGAAAAAACACGAAAAAAGTATTTTATTATTAACTAAATAATTGTTATTTGCCAATAAAAAAGTCACAAATGGTTGCGTGTTGCATTTTGCATGTAAAATGCGTACGATTCAATCCAACGAGAATTGATTTAAATTAAATTTTATAATGCTGTATATCAATGATATTAGAAAGTTATAAATAAAAACAAAGAAATAGATATATTATAAGGTGCTATATAAACTGTTAAGATTTAATTTTACAAAAAAAAAATGTTTAAAGTATTCTCTATTACAATTCAAACGAAAAGGTCAATTACATACAAATATGTGAAATTTTGTTTTTTACCTTAATTTAACACAGATTGTTATTTTGATTAGTCTCCCGGAAAATTCCCGTGGGATGCTAATTTCATTTAAATATTATAGCGAGTAGCAACATCTAAATTCTTCCTTACAATATATTTTCAGTAAAGTGGAACGAATCACTGAATATATTTTAACACTATAATAATATATTATATATCCATACTAATATTATAAATGTGTAAGTGTGTTTGTTTCTTTGTTTGTTTGTTTGTTTGTTTGTCCTACTTTCACGGCCAAACAGTGACGGATTGCCGCGACTTTTTTATGTGAAGATATTTGGAGGGCTGGAGAGTAACATAGGCTACTTTTTACCGCGGGAGATAATTTTATTCCCACGGGAAAACACGTTATAATACAAACCAAAAAAATATTTGTGATCAGAATTACTTAAAACTTGGTATTAATACTCTTCAGTACAAACTAATTAATACGTGTTTAAGCATTTTTCGAAATTCATCCTATACGGGGGTAAAATAGAGGATAAAAGTTTCTATGAAACCCACCTTTTTAGAAATACTTTTGTAGTTTTAGCGCGAGCGTAGCCGCGGGTTCTGCTAGTACTATATGTATTATCACATTCAGTTAATCTATGATGAGCTTATGACTAATATGACACCTACTCGAGGTGTCAGATTACATATGGGTATATGCATTAATATTAAATTAACATTTCCAGAAACGTTAATTTATTTAGTTATCTAAGAGGTTTTCGACAGAGAATACCAACTTAAATAATAAAACAATATTTAGCAAACAAGAATATGGTGTATGAACAGGCTGTTACGCATAATGATTCGACGCCTAATCCTCTCAAGATGAAATCTTCCGCCAAACACGCGAACATTTTCTCGTTAATGATATATTATTATTTAAACTTCATGCACTCAATTCAAAGGCAGATTTCTAGTATTTATGGGGAAAATGCATGATATTGTAATATATTATAGTAATGTAAAGGCTGATTTCTAGTATTTATGAGGAAAATGCATGATATTGTAATATATAGTAATGCTTAACCCACCTACTTATTTACAAATACTGAGTGATAAGTAAATATTGTGCTTATATTATCCACAATTATGGAATTTGTTATTGTTTGGTAATCCATTTATATACTCTTACTTGTATTGGATTATTGAGTGTTAGTTCCCATTCCCAACAAAACCGCGTGGCGTCGAGTTCCACGGAAAGCATTCAAATTGGTAGAAAAAACACCTTCGTCATAGTCATGGGCTCGCAACTACTCGAGTTTCTTTGTATTATAACGATCTTCTACCCATCGTGTGAACATGCGCTAGTTTTTGCTTACTACAAATGAAAGTTGCATTTGTGAGAATCTAGCTCGTTTCTTGCCTACACAGAGAAACTTGTTCCTAGCATTGACCTCTGGATCGTTGCATAATTTTTATCTAACCATCAGTCAAGTTCTTACTGTTTATGTAAAAGTATTACTTTATCGCACATGAAAGTTTTATCTATATAGTTATTAAATTCATGTATTTATCATAAACGATAGAGTTTTGACAGTGCTAATTTATTTGGCAGAACTGTTTTAAACCTTTAAAATATAAATATGTGATTTAAAACAAAACGCAAACATACCTAAAGTCAGAGTCGAAGCTTATATCTATATCGTGAGTCGCTAGTTTATTTATAAAACAACAAACGGGGTAACTGAAATTTTCGATTTTTTATTACCTTAGATTACTTGTATAATTGTATAATCTAAAATCACTATCTACTTTCTATATTGAATAAAATTATAAAAATTTTGACCATTAAAAACAATAGGTATTCGTCTACAAAATCGATTTGAACGAACGAATTTCCGCAACACCTTAGTCCTCGATTTGCTTAAAAAAAAAACCTAGTGTATGTTACAATATGAATTTTAATTATTGAATTATAAGTTATTACGTAAAGCAATGAAGCAGCTAGAAAGTAATACAGGGCATGAACCTGTCCTGTCATAATGTTAACATATTAGTGTGAAGTCGCAACACGTAGAAACCAACCGCATTATCTAATTTTGTGATCGTGTATTGATACGGATGAGAGATCATAAAAATTGCAAGAGTCATGCATACCTATCGTTATTATTAGCTATTCATTATGTGGGCAGTCGAAATGCAAATAAGGTATAAGTGGGAAGACATCGAATTAACGTGCTAGCTAGTTGTACGGTAATGAGAGTTGCAGAAGCTTTAATTTCATTTCTCAGTTTGCAGAACATTCAACTAAACCCTGTAAAATACGTAACTACCTGATGTCTATAGAGATTTGCTCAGGCTTCGTCCAGCCAAATGTTCTACATTACTACATACATACTTTACTACTTGTCGTATTTAGTTAAAATTCTAAGTTAGTTAAAAAATCTAACTTAACTTAAGCCCTAGCAGAATAAAATATAAGATTAACTTAGATACGAAGTTAAAAGGCTTTACATTAAATAGAAAAAAAAGATACGAAGTAAGGTTTTAAAAACAATTGAACCCTTTTATCGGTAAGCAGATGAGCAAAATAGGACCTCACTATGGATCTTCTAGAAATAGTAAAATATTATTTACTAGCGACTCACTCTAGCTTCGCTTGAGTATGTACGCCTTAGGTTGCTTACCCATACATACTTTCATCCCCATTTTACATTTTTATTTATATTACCCCACCCATACCCCATTTTACTTTATATTACCCATACATACTTTCATCCCTTAAGGGATGATCTCCGGGATAAAAACTATCCTATGTCCTTCCTAGGCCCTCAAAATATCTTCTAATCAAATTTCATCTTAATTGGTACAGTAGTTTCGGAGCTTATTCGGTAGATATAAACAAACAAAAATATTATTCCCCTTTATAATATTAGTATACCTACATTTAATAATTACTAACGACTTAACCTTCCTTTACTGTTTACTTATTTGGTGTCTTACATTATATACCAATGTTATTCCAGCTCATAGTCTAACTGGTTGCTAAATTTCATCCAAATCCGTACAGCATTTTCAGTTGAACGAGAAACAAACATTCAGACACATGCAAACTTTCGCAATAGATTATTCTATAGGTACATAATAATAATAAAATTCTAAGTGGAATGTGTACATTAAATATTTTTGAAAAATCGCATTGAAATAGTCATTATTATCGATACAGAGGCCGAATCTATACTTACTTTTTAGAATTTATATCTGTCTGTCTGGGAACGCACACGAGAAAACCACTGGGCAGATTTTCATGAAATTTGGTATGATGATAGCTGGTTATCCGGGTCAACGTATAGGATACTATTTAATGCGAGAAAATATCTCATCCCTGAGAAATATGTAATAAACGTTAAAATGTAACTAGGGAAAAACCCGAGCGGTGCGAGGGTGACTCGCTAGTATATTATAATAGTGCTTTGATTGTGTATTCGACAGGTTGACAGAAGCGTACGAGCATTACGCGTACGAAACCTTGTCGCCTGAATACGAAGACTGGGCTCGACCGATGCCGAAGACAGCTCCCGATAACTTCCATCTCTCCCGCTATGGACATTTGCAGATAGACTACTCTTTCAGCTGGCATTCCCTTGATAGAATTATACGGAACCAATAGAGAAAAAAATAAAAGAAGAAAAATTAAATTGTAAATTCATTGTCGAATTGATTAGATTTTTCTTAACAAAGATTTTTTATAGATAATATTTTATAGGTACCTACATACTAATATGTCAATCTATCTCAAAAAATCTCAAAAATATATTCACAATTTTTTTTCTTAATTGTACATAATGGTGCTATATAATAATATCTTTAAGTTCTCATCTCAAATCCCATTTCAGTATTTTGTGCGTAATATAATATAAAATCGACCTAGATATGTAAGAAACAACCTTCGAGCCTAATTTTCTGTGCATGTATTATTGTTGTAAAATAATTGTTGTATAGATTTACCGAATTAAATATAATTATTTGTATTACCTAAGAATATTCTAGATTAATTTGTTTCGCTTAAAATTGTATATTGTTTCTGGTATTTTAGCTCTAAAAATATTGATAACAGTATAAGGGAGGTACCGTTTATGATTTAACAAAATTATATTTCAAGATTAGAGTTAATATATTACGTAGATTGTAGACATACGAGTATATACATATTTTTGCGAAACTAAATTAACACGAGTGGCTGATAAATACGCGTATAGCTTATTATAGCAGTACCAATACCTTCTCTAATTTTACTTCCGCTATGAAAAACATATTTTTTTATTTCTGTATAAAATATTAGACACATACTTACAAGAAAGAATTGAATATAAAATTATTTGCTCAAGCCATAAATTATTTTTTATTATCGATTTTTATTGAATAATCATGATGATATGAATGTGATTGTATGTATATTAATAAATTTTATGAGAATCTTTGAAAGATATTTATAAGAGTATATAAATCTTAGGGCGATAATAGAGTACCGAACTATAGCGAAATTACATATCGATTTAATTCAAATTTGATAAGCATGAGCCAAAGAAAATAAATGATTTATTGTTATTTTTGTTGTTTTTTACCTACCCAAAAATTTATTCCACTGAAACTAACACACGTCATGGCCTAACGCTATTTTTTTTTGAAAAAAAAAATAGAAATATTATTATAATTCCAAAGTCGGAATTATAATAATATTTTTCTTGTTTTTAGTAATGTTATAACCAATGTACCAACTTCTTTTCAACAGACACGTTTGTCTCAGTTTGTAGTGATCCTACTTGCTGTGCCAGCGATCGCGGGTTCGAGTCCCGCTGGGGGCATTAATTTGTGTGATGAGCACGAATGTTTGTACTCAGTCATGGTGTTTATATTTTAAATTTATATATGTGTAGTGTATCAACTATCTGGTATCCATAACAAAAGCCTCGTAGCTTACCATGGAACTGGATGGTGCTATGTGTTCATGTCCCAACATATTTATTTATTTCTTTATTCTCTTTAATATACAGCCGTATAACGACATAATACCTATATCAACAGAATTATGATACCGTGGGTGTTAGTTACACCACCATAAAATAAATAAAACAATAAAGTAAGTGCGAGTCTCACTCGCACACCGAGGGATCCGTAATCATAATATAAAACAATAAATGTATGTTTTGTTCTAACAAACTAACTTTAAAATTAAAAGAAAATATTTACCATACCTATAGGTATATATGGTATTCATTTTATTGATGGAATGCAATTTTTTGACGTTAGAAGTATATAATTCTGCAAAATATCTGCAATCTATCTGAATTTTATATAACTATCCAGACACGGACAAGGAAAATTTTGTTGAAATAGACATTATTATCGATACAGAGGCTGAATCTATAGTTTTTAGAGTTTTTGTCTGTCTGTCTGTTACCGCATCACGAAAAAACCACTAGAGGGATTTTGATGAAATTTGAGATGATGATAGCTGGTTATCCGGGTCAACATAAAGGATACTTTTTACCGCGGGAAAATATCTCATTTCTAAGAAATTATACAAAAACTGCATTCTAAGAGTATCTAATATGTAAAACCTAAGAATTTGGTTTTTGGTCATCTGAACGCGGGCGGATCCGCGGGCAATGCTAGTATAAAATAAATAACTATAAAATTTTATAATCTATTTTTATCATTAAAAAGCTACACTATCCAAAAGTAACAGGCTATTTTTTAAACTAAGAACACTAGTTTTTAATAAAGAATTTACGACGTCTATACGTTTTACGAGTTACGACACAAGTGCTTTTAATGAAATAACAGGATCGCTTAGAATGTTAGTAGAAAGTGAGTTTAGATAATCTTTATGATGACAGTAGGCAGCAAACTAGACTTAAATGATTATATGCCGAACTTCCGGTAAATAATAATTTAAATAAATATATACATTTATTTATCCCCAATGCGGTTAGCTAGTTACTTTCCATATAAATTACAGGTGCAGTGAGAGTAAAAGACTTTCGCTTAATAGGATCATAATCAAATTAAATAAGTACGCTATTGATATTTTATAAAACTAATTGAAATAAACTTTTAATATCTACAAAACGATGAAATTCTATAGTTTATCTATACATATAATAAAATTGTAACTAAGCCGAATCTGTACATTAAATATATTTTGGAAAATCTTATTGAAATAGACTTTATTATCGATACAGAGGCCGAATCTATAGTTTTTAGAATTTTTGTCTGTCTGTCTGTTACCGCATCACAGAAAAACCACTGGAGGGATTTTGATTAAACTTTGTATGGTGATAGCTGGTTATCCGGGTCAACATATAGGATACTTTTGACCGCGGGAAAATGTCTCATTTCTGAGAAAAAAATACAAAAACTGCAATGTAAGAGTATACTAATATGTAAAACCTAAGAATTTGGTTTTTGGTCATCTGAACGCGGACGAAGCCGCGGGCAATGCTAGTATTCTATAAGTTACATCGAATCTTATAATATAATTTTATCATAGTCACATTATAATTAAAATGTGTTTATCTAATATCCAATGCAGTTATTATGAATATATTGTTATTTTTGTAATTATTGAATATTATTTCCTTGCATTATTTAATAGTAACCGATACCCTATTGCCAATCAATATTCAATAGATACTTTTGATGGACGCTTTAATATTAAAATAAAATTTTACTGATAAAAACATAACAACAATTAGAATGTATCGATTTACGACCTATACACATGTGGATGTAGACAACAAAAATACTTATTGCTTGTAACTTATTGTTTATAACAACAATATTGGGAGGACTATTACAGTTAAAAGTTATGATGCAACATAATATGAATAATCATGTAGATTGTAGGTAATTACAACAAAAATCACAACAATGAACGGGCATATTATTTTTTATCTCGTAATTTGGAATTAAACAGATTTAGAAATGTGAAGAAGAGATAAGCTACTCAATCTACCGACTGCAGACGATATAATTGTTACATATGCTTTACTGTTTTGAAGGAATTTTGTTACGAAATAACCTCTTTATATAAGTGTTATTATTGTTCGCATTCACTTTACCATATAATTAATCATCATTCGTATGTAAACCTTGTAGTTTTTTATTGAGGACGTTTCTACTTTGTTAAACATACTAATTTTTATTATATTATCTATGCAACATACTCGTATTTACAGTAAAACTTAGGTAGGTTTTATTCCTATATTTTGTTTTAAACTGCTAAAAATAACACCAAAATAGTATTTTTATATCTTCTTATAATAATGATAATTTAAAAGAAAGCACATACGACAAATTACAATAAAATTATACACCACCGCAAACTGGTGAAGTAATCACATGCATGACTACTGCAATCATTAACATATAACCGATACTTTAACTTAATGCTGATGTAAATTTAAAACCGAATGGCATAAGTAAAATTTTATTTATTTCTTATTATTCAATAAAGAAAATATTCAAAACGTATAATAATATAAATAAGGAAGTCTGATTTTTATTTCTTCAGACTATAACAGCTCAATGGATGTGAGTGGAAATTGGAATGGTGAAACTTATCCTAGATGTAAGAAATTTAAATAATTATATAAAAATTACCAAAGGTTTATTTAACCGTATATTTAATTAGAAGTTAACGACACACAATTTAGTAGGTAAAGAATTTACCTATTTATTAGACTTACAACTATTAATATATTCGGCCATACGCCGAATACCGAATATTCGGTGAGCTTTCTGGCCGAATAGCTGAATATTAGGTAAAAGCATTCGGTCAGCGCAAAACTTGTAGCGAGAATAGTATCGACGTGTTCGTTTCTTGTTTGGCGCCAGGAAGTAGTAGTACCAATGTATTTTTTCAGAGCGTGTTTTCTCTGAAGCTGGGATTGTCACTTTTAAATTTTAATTATGATGATGCAAGTGCATAGAATTTTTTTTGATAGTCTATTTGATTAATTTTTGTAATATAGAACTTGATTATGTACCTATGACAGCTTTAATGATTATAAGAAAAATATATTATTATAAAATAAATCAATATTTTCATTTTACACAACAAAATATATTACTTAGGTATTCGGTATTCGGCAGAATAAGAAAAAATATCACAATAGGCCGAATACCGAATAATAGCCGAATATTCGTTGCAGGTGTACTATTTATGTTTCACGTATAAAAATGGGTTTTATAAGGGAAGAGGGTTAGATCAATTTTTTTTTTCTATTGCTATAATACCTACATAACGTACTATAACGAAAATTATTACATTACTAGCGACACACCCTCGCTTCACTCGCGTTCGTCATAGGTACGTTTTAACGGTTAGTAAGAAATACAAATCTTTGAATTCTCGGCCTTTCTGTACTATAATATGCATGTATTATACATATATTACATACGTTTATAAATTTAAGAATACCATAAAACTTAAGCTTCTTCATTCCACTAACGATGGTTAGTTGTTTATTGTTATTACCTATTAATAAAAAAAAAACACATCTTCAAGTTTTTGTTTGAGTATATACTTACTGTTAACTTTAATTTCAATTTTATTTTTGCTCACTAATGTAAACTATTATTATTAAGTTACTATGTTGTTGTCTTATTAGTATGCAGTGTTGCTTATAATTAGGGCATCATTAAGACTAGATCTTCTTTTGTTTATTACCATTTACAATTGTAAGGATGTATGCTCTGTTAGCGACCTATGTAATAAGTAAATATAAACATTCCTCTTGAATTACTCTACCTCTTAAAAAAACCGCATCAAAATCCGTTGCGTAGTTTTAAAGATCTAAGCATACATAGGGACAGACAGACAGCGGGAAGCGACGTTGTTTTATACTATGTAGTAAAGCTATCACAAATATTATATATGAGTAAATCTTGATTAAATTAATCAAATTATATTTAAGTACCTATACGGGTTCATACATAGGTACTCTCGTCTAAAATATAAGTATAAATATTAAATATATATTTTGATATATGTAGTTATATTTTTAGACAACAGTATACGTAAAATACTATTTACAGACATAATACGAACGTTTAAAGTAAATCTTTATATATATAATTCTTCTGTGAGTGTGTATGTCACTGAACTTCTCTCAAACGACTGGACCGATTTTGATGAAATTTTTTGTGTGTGTTCAAGGGGATCTGGGAATGGTTTAGATTCACAATTTGAATAATAATTTTCATCAAAAAAATTATTAAAAAAAGTTCGAAATTTTCAAATTAAAGACGTGTAGACAGGACAACGTCTGTCGGGTCCGCTAGTACAAACAATAAAAAAATAATTGTTCAAATATTTATATCTATCTACTTTAACGAAAAATAAGTAACAAAAAAAAATTTTGATAATTTTATTAAAAAAGCTTCAATTTCATATCACCATTGCATCCAAGATACGGTTTGTAATTCAGATAAAAATGCAAAACTCACAAATGAAAGTGATGGAAATAAAAACATTGCCAAGAAATCTCAAAACGTGCAGTTTATTTTAAAAGGTAACATTTATCGCCCAATTTAAGCTCAGCTTTACATTAGTTTGATTCTACTGGTTTAGAAAGTCCTTTTCGTTGTACAGTTTTCTTTTCTTTGTTATATTAAAGTGTCCTTTTTTATCATTTCTAGGCATATTTGGAGTTTTTGTGTCACTATACATAATTTGTAATGCAGGAGATTTTACGGCTTTGTTAAGTGTACTTGCCATTTGACAGGGCATTGGTTTTGGGCTTTCTGGTATACTCGTAGAATACTCAGTAGAAAAAGAATCGGTGTAATTCTTGTTCATAGAATATGGTCGTTCAACTCTATTTTCATATTGGCCTTCTGAAGGATAGGTGTTTTGAGCTAAATACTCTTTAAATTTACTTTGTTTCAGTTTCTCTTCTAAATCTTCCACTTTCTAAAAGATCGTGGGTGTTATTTTAATTGCCATACAATTAATTTATATTTATTTAATTATAGCTGGTACCTATCGACTTAGTTCACCAAGTGTAAATATCTACCAAAATTAAAAACCGGCCAAGTGCGAGTCAGACTCGCGCACGAAGGATTCCGTACCATTAACTATAAAAAGGGCTAAAAACATGTCTGTTGTATCGGAGCCCTCTTAAATATTTATTGTATTCTGTTTTTTTAGTATTTGTTGTTATAGCGATAATAGAAATACATCATCTGTGAAAATTTCAACTATATAACTATAACGGTTCATGAGGTACAGTCTGGTGACAGACGGACGGACAGCGGACTCTTAGTAATATGGTCCCTTTTTACCCTTTGGGTACGGAACCCTAATAAATGACAAATGACATAATTTATAAGTTAACCTAACTTTACTTATAAATTAAAAGAAAAGTTAATTTTAGGTATTATTTACGTACATATTTAAGTTAAACCTAGTATTAAGTAAGTATATTATCTAATCTGTGAAACAATTATATTTAATGTCCACGCTTTGTGTACGCTTCAGTTAACCAATTTTAATTTTAGTAGGCTGCATATTAACGTAGTGCCCGGTCATTGACCCGACGCTTGCATTTATGAACACCTGAAGCGCTTACATTTGTTTTTCTAACATTTTGCACTTTCAAACGTATTAGAATTACAAAGTATGTGCGCGATTATTAGATTAATATAATAATTTAGCTATTTTAATAATAATTAATGGGAAAATAGTCTTGTACATGTACACGTTGAATTAAAACTATCGTAACAACGTGCTTTATCGTAATTTCACTATCTTGCTGTCAATTATAGTTCCTATTCTAGATAGTATGTAGGTATGTGTATAGCCTTTAACTTAGGAACCAAACAGAAAGCTCATTGTATGTAGCTCTTTTTAACGTCGCACTGCTGGGCACGAGCCTCCCTTCAATACGAGGGGGATCAGGCCATAGTCCACCACGCTGGCCGAGTGCGGGTTGGCGGACTTCACATGTCTTTTGAAAACTTGCTAAGTTCTCTAAGACATGCAGCTTTCCTCACGATGTTTTTCTTCACAGTTAAGACAAGTGGTAATCATGTTGGAAATGATTTGCACATGAAAATATCAGAGGTGCGAGACTCGGGATTTGAACTCGCTTCACTCGGTTTCCCAAGCGAGCGCGTTACCACTGGGCTACCAATACCTTATTAATATTACTGGTTGCTTAAATATTTTAATGTATGTATGTATAAGTTTCATATTTCGTCTTTTTGTGCTGAAGATTATTTTTTTTAACCTACTGTTAGGTACACGTATGAAATGCCATTTTTTTTCGTAGGTATTCAAGATTCTATTGCATTTTCCATGAGACACTAAACTTTAAAATTTTAGCTACATAGGCTCCGACTAAAATGGCTGTGATATATGGACGGATGGACAGACAGACATGACAAAATTTTAAGGGAAAACGTAAGTTTTGGAACCCTAAAATTACATTTCCACATATATATATAATAGATGCTAAAGGGTTAAAGAAATGATTAAATATATTTTTTTAGTTAAATATACATTGTAAACCTACTTAATATAATTATTAATATTAATAAATACATTAATTACTATTTTAAAAACGATTTACAAATCATTATTAATGTGTGAATTGTTTTTATTTATTTTGTAGGGAAAATATAATAGTACCCTCACCCTTCGATATGCTTCAATGTTAGCCTCAGTGCGAGCAGCCTGCATCGTGAGGTTTTCTTGTAGCTGTGCTACTTCAGCCGCACTTCGTTGGATTTTTTCCTCATATTCTAGCACTACTATGTTCATCTATTTAATTTAAAATATAATATAATAAAAAAGCTTTTTAATAACACAAATTTGTGCTGTACCAAATATTTTTACGATCTTTTCGGATTTTGTCGCGATTCTATTTTGGATTTCTTTGCTCCTGGCATTTCAAAGGAAAGTTTTACCTTTGAACTTATGACATAACTGTAAGCTTTCAGTTGATTACATCATTATATAATTATTAATATTATACCTAATTGCTTAAATATTGTAATGTAACTAGGTACCTATATATAAATTTTACTTCTTTTAAGGGCGCAGTTGATTACATCATTATATAATTATTAATATTATACCTAATTGCTTAAATATTGTAATGTAACTAGGTACCTATATATAAATTTTACTTCTTTTAAGGGCGCAGTCGGTAGTTGGAACTTGGAACCCTATTGACTACTAAACCTATTATTCAATAGTTTTTGTAAATATTACACAAACTATAAAAAAGCAACGTTATATTACTTATATTATTTTTTATAGGTATATGTTTTAAGTAGGTACACTATTTTAATATTTCATAAATTAATTAACATATAACAATACAGCAAATTAAAAGTCTATAAATAAGTATTTATTAAATATGTATGATGCCGTTACCTTATTTTTATGTTCGGCTTCTGTTTCTTGCAATTTTTCCCTCAGCTCTTCAATAACACAAGTAAATTGTGCTATTTGCGTGTCTGAATCGTATTGAAGCTGTTGAACTAGTTAAAAATGTATATATTTTTATATAAACTAAATTAATTAGTATTGATTAATAAAATGAATTAAGAAAGGTGGTGTAAAGACCGTCGTAAGATACTTAATCCCTCCACGACCACAGACACGCCGGCGTGTCAGTTAACAATAGATTTCTTAAAATTTTAATTAATTTCTTAGAAATTTACCTGGAGGTGTAATACGCATAGGTACCTACTCTGTAATTACAAAAATAGATTTGGTAAGTATAAAATAAAATCTCAGTCAAAATAATACTTTACGTTTTTTATCATTAGTCGATATTATTTCCTCGATGTATTTTTCATGGGATCTTCGTATATCTATTATGTTTTCGTTGTACCTTTGTTGAGTGTCAGTTTTATCCTAATGTAAAAGTAATAGAACTTAAGTAACTACAAACGTATAGAAACTTACTTTCACATCACGTTATAAAATTACCTTCTCCATTGTTGCTATAGCAATATCTTTTGAAACAATCTCGTCTTTTAATTTTTTAACATCACGTTTGAGGTACACAAGCTGGGATACAGTCTCCTGTAGATTTCCGATCATTTCACGGGAAGTTTGCAAATGATACCGATGCGATTTTTCGAGTTCGCGCGTTTCTTTTAAGTCTAATTCTAATTTTAAATTAATTTCCCGTAGTTTTTTGCCTTCCTCTTTTTCGTTTACGGATTCCTATTTAACATAATTCGTAAGTGTTTAAAATATATAAGAGGAACCAAATAATGTAAATCTTAACAATATTTTCGTACGATTTTACACTTCGATAAGCTTTCTAGCATCTTTTGCAATCTTTCTTTACATATTTTTATATCAATATTTGTTTTAGAATCCATTTTAAGTTTATAAAACGGTAATAAAACGATTAGTAAATACCAATAACACAAATAATGCAATAAAAAAACTAAGTTAATATTAAAATTAAACTTTGATTTTAGAATAAATATATGAAGACTTTTTAATTTTTAATAGCACAATTATTTTATAGGCAAAAGATTCGAACTGTAAGGCCTAGCGCGCTCGAGTTACTTTTGTCCCAACTGTGGCGAAGCCCAGAAGGAGGGTTAATAGTTTGACGTGTGGATGTATATATGTATTAATATCCGATGCAATGTTACCTCGTAACTCCTAAACAGCTGAACTAATTTTGATGAATTATAAGTCGCTAGAATTTTCTGGATGACGGGATTCACAAGGGAAAATTAATATTAAAAAATCAAAATGACGGAGTTTAGATGTCAAAAGGGAATATAAGTTTTTTTATACCATAGTTTCGTTATATACCTACGAGTAATTGTCCAAAAAATATCCAGCTTAGGAAGAATTAACATTTAGCATAAAAATTGTTTTCAAAATATGATACAAATACGGGCACTATAAACGCCCAACATTTTGGCCATCTTTGCGTGACGTCATAGTCTACCACTACATTGCAATCAACGAGTGTACAGGTCTAGAACTTAGAAGTATTAAACAATACCGCTCTGTAATCAATTATCATAGACTTTGACGTCACATTCGGTCTGACCAATACGTTGCGTTAAGGCTACTTTGAATTTCCCACATATTTCGGCACTTTTCAATTTCACCTTTATTTATATCACACGCATATTCCCTATTGTCTAAGAAGCCAAACCTAAAAGGTCTTGAATTAACTTAACGCAAGAAATAGTAAAAAGGTATCTACAGTAAAAAATGGTGCAAAGTTAGTGCACATAGCTTAGAACCCTGGAGGAGTGGGATGTAATAGTTACAGAGGGGCCAGTGTATAAGTAATCTAAATATATGAAAGTTATTATTAAGAAAAGAAAGGAGTCAGAAGTTATGGTCTTTTTTATATAAACTTTGAATATTTCGTCTTAAAATGCATAGTTATGGACAATATCGACGTTGCACGTGGCACGTGAATGTTAAAAGATATATAAATTTGCATGTTAGTGAACGGTAAGAGATAATCGCGAAAAGATTAATGTAAGAAAAAAAATCTTGTAAAACTTTACATAAAAAAGATAGGAAATTTAATTTAATTGAGAAAAAATCTATAGTTTTACGTACAGTAAGCCATTCTGGAGATATTGAATAAAACCGCTTTTTTTGCAACAGTGGCGCTAGGCCTCTCGGGGTACCCCTCAAACTTATCTTTAGACTTTATAGGGGTTGATTCACTATATTTACTGGGCTAATAAATCGAGTTTTTTAAAAGTTGTTGCTACATATAATAAAATCGTAACTAAGCCGAATCTGTACCTACATTAAATATTTTTTGGAACATCTTATTGAAAGAGACATTATTATCGATACAGAGACCGAATCTATAGTTTCTAGAATTTTTGTCTATCTGGGAACCTATCACAAGAAAAGCACTGGACAGATTTTGATGAAATTTGGTATGATGATAGCTGGTTATCCGGGTCAACATATAGGATAGGATACTTTTTACTGTGGGAAAATATCTCATCTTTGAGAAACCTAAACGTTAAAACGTAAGTAGGGACGAAGGCGAGCAGAGCGAGAGTGAGTCACTAGTGTTTTATATATATAATTACGTTAATTCATTTTTTTTAATTTGAAGGGAATAGGGAACTAATGTTATGTTTACTTTAAAATCTAAATCCATAAATATTTATGTAAGCATAAAAAAAGATCAAATGCAAATATTATGCTTGTAAGTTTTGAATTAATGAGTGTATTAGTGTTATAAATTGAATAAAAGTAATATATTATTCTTAATTACATTATTTTAACTGATGTAAAAATATTAAAAAATAAAATAATATTAAGTATAATCAATAAAATATTTATTTAATGATACATTATTCAACTTGCAACAATATTTTTGACTGTTCAAGTGTAGCTTTTAATTTGAATGGTTTGCTTAAACTTTCGACATTAAAAGTCTCTTTTGCAAATTGATCATTTTCTGGATCATCATGTAAAGTGAAACTTATGTCTTTTACATCTTTACCAGCCTCAATGTTACAAATATTTTGTGCAAATGGTGGTGTGCCTTCCTTAAATAATTTGACAGTTTGATCTAAATATTTCATATAAATGTCTTTTCCTAGGAATTCAACCTCAGCATTTGTTTCTGTCAAAGAAAGTTCAGCTAAGTCTAACATCATTCCTGCTTGTTTAGCACATCCAACAGCAATAACTTCATCTGGATTAATACCTGAAAGTACTTCAGCTTCTGGTAACAAATTTGCTACAGCCGATTGTAACTTTGGAATTTTCATACTGCCACCACAAAGAACTATTTTGCTTATTTTACCTTCAAAAATATCTATTACTTGTTTTGCAGGTTCAATATAAGAAGAAATTTTAGAAGAAATAATATTCTCAAACCTTGCGCGAGAGACATTTTGACTCCAATCAACACCGTCTAGGAGGGATTCAATAAAAACGTGAGCAGAGTTGAGTGTTGAAAGGACATGTTTACAGTTGTCAGCATGGTGTAACAGTTTTGACATAGCTCTACGACTTTCTTGCGGGTCAAGTTTCCATTTTTGCCTAAACTCTTGAGCAATATAGTCGGCCAAATCTTTGGTTAGGCACTGACCCCCTAGATCTGCTCTGAAAATATTCTTTTCTACTGACATAAATCCACCTGTAACTTTAACAACTGATGCATCACATGTAGAACCACCTAGCCTATACACTAATACATTTACATCTTCTGGTGAATCTTCAATATTATAAGCCAATAGTGCTGCTGCTGGTTCACTTATGACTTGTAAGACATCAAATCCCGCTAATTCAGCACATCTCACTAATTTTTCCCTACTTGCATTGGACCAATGTAATGGAGCAGCTAAGACCAATTTTAAATCTCCTTCATTTTGAACAGAGTGACTGGCAATAGTGTACAGTTTTGAATATATTTTTGTAGCAATATTATCTGGGTTAGAATAAAGTTTTGTTTCGCTTGTTTCAAATTCATATACCAATTTCTCATCATTTTGAATTCGACAAGATGAAGCACTTTCAACATAAGATACATCATCTTCTGTAAAATCACAGTTCATGAGGCGTTTATTATATTTAATTATTGCTTTCGAGGAGGCTTGGCCTGATTTCGCTGGCAATCCTATTTCCCATTCTACACCATTTAAGGCAACAATCGCAGGTGTGACTCTGTCGCCTGCATCATTGGCAAGAACGGCAGCTGTACCATTTGTAAACGCCGCTAAGCATCCTGAACTATCACCTAAGTGAATTCCGTATGCTGTTGCCATTGTAAACTAATTTATAAGCAAGTCAATATATATAAATACAGTAGAAATTGTGTATATCCAAATATTCTCAACACTATTTAAATCTTAAAATGTTGTACTTGTACCTTGTTAACCTCAAAATACGTGAACAAGACAAATTTGACAAACACTAGTCCAAGTTTAATGGAAATTGGAAAACGGATGACAAAAGAATTAAATGACATTTAGCAATATATTTTGACATTGGCATTCCAGTATTAAGATTTTTATGTCTACTGGCTTAAAACCATAAATGAATAAATATTTATATTTTTCATATTAAAATTTATTATTTTATCGAATTATTGGTTAGAAACAGTAAAGATTTTTTTAAGAGAATAAGTGAATGAAACAAAATCTAAAGAGAACATTATTTACTGAATTTAGACAATTAGATAAAAAAACAGACATTGAAGTGCTTTATAGTGTGCCAAAATGAAATTATTTGAATTTCAAGTTTTTTTTGTGTAACACAAGTAACATTACATTTCGGTCTGTTGGCACATGCCACTTATTATTTTATCTATTTTGTTTACATGGATGACAAATTGACAATTGACAAATAAAATAAGTTGTTTAAAAGGGGTTAGCGGTCAAAACGCCGCATTTTTGTTCATTTCCTTTTTAATTAGAATGTAAAATTAAAGGCTAAGATTTTCCTAAAATGAAAAATTCTTTGTTAAAATGTTTTGTATATGCAGCATTTCTTCTAGCTAGCCTTTTTGCAGTTTTGGGACATAGTTTAAATGCTGAAGCTCTTAAACCGAATGATATCCGGAATTACTTAGGAACTCGTACTCCATATAGATTTAAATATAACAAAGATGATTCTAAGAAAAAGTTTCCTAGTATGTACAATATTATTCATCTACTTTTTCATTTATTATACACAATTCCCATTACGAGGTCGACAAAAAATTTAGTATCGTATCATACAATTTATTGGTGAAGTAATGTGTTCTTAAAAATGCTTAACTTATGCCATATAAAACAATAAAGAAACAACTTCTTTCTTTTACCTTTTCTCAACTTTTACTTAACTTTTCGCAATCGTTAAAACTCTGCGACGTCTGCGACCTTATGAAGTAGGAAAAAGAACTAAAATAATCTTGTATTCTAGAATATTTAATATAATTTTTTTGTATGTAATTAAATTGTATGTATTTTTAACTAAAAAGTATTTTTTGTAGATTGCAAAGATACAAATGTTTGGATGGTTATACGCCATGGGACGAGATTACCAAGTGTTAAAGATATTTTAGGTATGAACAATGAGTTAGAAGATTTGAAGTATGAAATATTAATAAAAAACAGGAATGGTCAAGGTATATAGAAGAAAAATTCTAACCAACAATCATAAATTCAAGTCAATTAGCATATTATGTTATTAATTTTAATGTTTTAGGTCAATTAACTAAAGTACAATTACAACATCTTCAAAACTGGTCAAGTCGTATTTCATTGGAACAGGAAAAATATCTTACTTTAGAAGGCCAAGATGAAATGATATTGCTAGCTGAAAGAATGCAAAAGAGATTCCCTAATGCCATTAAATCTAATTATAGCAATAAAACACATAAGGTACTAATATAGTAAATAAAGGTTGAAGTCAGACAATTGGGCTACTGTAGAGAAGAGAAATAAAAAAAAACTCTACTAAGAAGAGAAATTAGAAAGTTTGCCATCATTTCCGTGCCTATTTCCCAATCACTTGGGGTCGGTGTAGTACATCTTCCGAAAGTTTGTGTTTGTGTAATAAGTGCATCCCTGGTGCTGAACAGTAGCTTGTGTCTATCTATGTATTAATTTCATCAAAATCTATTCAGGCATTTCAGCATGAAAGAATAACAAACAAACACAATACACAAACTTTTGCATTTATAAAAGTAGTCCGATCATTAAACATTACAAAAATTATGAATAATAAGCTAATGCCTATATTACGTATCATTTTCGGAATAATACCATTACCATGTATCTTTTTCTTAAAAATGAAATTAACTTTGAGAAACAATATGAACATGTTATGGTGAATAAGATAAAAATATGAAATAGGCAGATGAACCAAAATAGTAATTATTTATTTGAAAACCACAGACACTTATTCTTTTTATAGAATTTAATAATTTGTTAATATTGAATGCAAGATAACTAACTAAATAAAACAGAATGAGAATTTTAAAGCATTTAATGTATGAATTCAATTTTTTCAGTTCAAATATACAGCTACACAAAGAGCTCAGCAAAGTGCCAGATATTTTACAATTGGCTTATTTGATAAAAAGGGTTCCCAAGATGTGGTTTTTGAGCCTGCATTAAAAATTGATACAACATTACGGGTAAGTTAATTTAACATTTTTTTTTTTTACTAATCCTGATGGATCAAGCCTGAAATTTTAACACCTAGTTTCAGTGATGACGTAGTCATTAAAAAAAGGTTTTCTTAAATAAACCTACTCTAAAAGAGGACAATAGAGCCATCGTTTCTGGTGACAACAGTTGGCGCCACTGGCGAGTTAGGTCGTATCGCTGTTGTTATAAAGTATTTGTTAGTGTGGCAGAGCCACAATTTGTAATTATTATAATAATGTAATAAAAAAATAAGTCGGCGCGTCAACAGTTTACGCGTTTGTTTTTTTATTTTGTTTTAAATATTTAATACATAATAACCAAATAGATAAAATATTGACTTTTTCTTAGCTCTTCTCTTAAAGCAATAACATTTGTTAAGCTGCACCGTATCTACCTTAGTTAATCGGGTATGCACAATGCTTACAATAATCATGAATAATTTTTGAATATCTGGGATGAAAAGTTCGCAAACAGTTAACATTCAGTGTCATTTGACAGTTCTAGAGACCTCACCCTACACTAGCGCCTCTCGCGGCGAATTCAAGCGCAGTAGCTCTCATTGGAAAGCAATAAAGCTCCTAGGGCATCATATTGAAATCTAGAGTTAATTAATTATTTGAAACGAACGGACTTGTTTGTGCTCCATACAAACTTAAACATACAATCTTTGACTTCATACAAACATAAAAATAAATACTTTAAGTTTCTTCCAAATTTTCCAGGCAATTTTTTTAATGTTTATTTCTTATAAGCTTATTCAGACTGTAAATTACTAAAGAAATAAAACGAAACAGCCCAGTCATTTTAAAGTAGTTTTTTAAGAGTGAACATTATTTTATTACCCCACAACGGTGACGCCCAAAGAAGGGGCATGTGTTGTGGGTATTTGTGCATTATGTGCTCGAGTGTTTGTGTTATGTGTTATGTTTTATCATACTCCAGTTTCTTTACAAATTTTTTTATTATATAAAATGGTTTATACTATACTTATTAATATGCCAATAAAAATGTTATCAGTATTTTTTTAAGTAAACTAATAAACCAAAGGAAACATTTGATATACCAGCATCATGTAGCTTTTTATTTATGAAGAAATTTAAAATATTGAATTATTAGTTCTGGAAAATATATCTTCTACATATTTTATTTTTTTATTAATTATATAAAGTATTATAAAATGACATAATTAAAAAAAAGTATCCATATTTTTTCAGTTTTACAAACACTGTGATAAGTGGAAAAAGCTAGTTAAGAAAAATCCAGAGACCTACAGAGAACAAAAAATATTCGCCAACAGTCTTGAAATGAATGAAACAATACGATCTGTGTCTAATAGATTGGGTTTAGATAGAGAATTGAGTTTGGGTTTGTAGCAGAAGAAAAATAAAATAAAAGCTTATATTGCTATTTGCACCTGCATATGTATTGCCATGCACTTGTCACTTATGGCTTTATATATACCATAGTCATCACATAGTACCATATTGAAGTTTATGTATACACTTGCACCTGTAAGTTTTCCTGCTTTCTTGATTTGTATGTAAATATATAGTTATTGTAAAATTGACTTGACCCTCTTTGATCTCTTAAGCTTGACTTCTTAGACTTTTTATTTAGAACTTTACCTTATGGTTAGAGACCGAATTATATGCATCTTTATCTGTATATTTTTTTTGGGTGTTGTATATTTTATCGAAAATCTTTTACTGAATCAATAAATGAATTGCTAAGTGAAATCTATTATAGATTTAGCTAAACAATGTATATGTCGCAGGGAAATTGTAAGGTCCGTTAAATTATAATTTCATTAGTGAAATTATAATTTACCTAAAAATGATGTCCCGTGATATTGTAAGAAAGGCAGACGATTGACAATACTCCGAGTACTATAAATATAGTATAATAACAGTTTTTACAATTTCCCTGCGACATATATAATGCATTTTTTTTTATTTTATGATGCGGTTTTTAACACTTTAACTATTAATATCACTTATATTGCATATAATTTTCTTTCTATTTTTTATTTATATATGCAAATTTATAATAATTCATTTCTATTAAAAAATAATAGTAATGCAATTTGGCTCCCACATATTATAATATTTTAAGCTTTTTCTTAATTAGTTCATATTATTAATGTTATGGGTTTTTCCTTCAATAGAAACAGTTGTGTTGATGTATAAAGTATGTGGCTATGAGACGTCGTGGCGGAAATATTCTATGTCCCCCTGGTGCTATGGTTTCGATGAGAAAAGTATTAAAGTAAGATCTTTTATAAATTTACTCCTCGTTTATTGTCATACAATCTTAGTCTAAATAAAACTATCTTTTCGGAATTTTTCGCGGATTTATTTTGATTTTTGGTTTCCGACGTTTCGGATGCTTTACAGCAATCTTGGTCACGGGATAGACTGTCCCGAAATATGTTTTTTTTTGGAATGAATTAAAATCGAATCTTTTATATTTAGTAAAAAATCTATATGACATATCTATAATATGACATATATAAATAAATATATATTATTTTAAAAACTTTAAATCATATTTAAAAGCCTATAAATTAATTGTGTAGAAAATTTTTTTACCATTTTATTCCAGGTTTTAGAATACTATCATGACCTAAAACACTACTGGCTAGATGGCTACGGACATAACGTCACTTATCAAATTTCTTGTATGTTATTGAAAAACATGTTTCATAGTATAAGGTAAGATTTAATGATATTTTTTTATTTTTACTTTTTAATTTTTACGTTGCGCGCGCACACCGACAGCAAAAAAGCGACATGATGAAGTTAGCTGAAAGCGATATGATGAAGTTAGCTGCATTCCTTTTACAAACAGAATCATTACATTAGGTACAATGTTAAATCAGAATCAATCAAAGGATGAAATCTTTAGCTATTTTTGTTCTGTTACGCCAAAGAAGTATAACTTCTACGTGCGTACATAAATACACACACACGTACTTTTTTTGATAAAAAATGTGTTTTTTTTTAAGAACATGTACTTAGAAAAAATATTTCTTACGTATAATTTAACAGTATGAATACCAAAACCCGATAATTGGCGCCATTATCATAAAGAAAAGAGTTGGATTCAAAATGGCAGTTCATTACATTTTTACATGCTATTTTCGGTAATAACGTTATAAACAGTATTTCGCTGATAATTATGTAGATTACCTAACGGTTATTTAAAAAAAATGCCATGCTAGTTTAAGATTGTGCTAATTGGGAGAGTTTTAAATCATTTGTCGATATTGAAATGACTGTTTCATTTTATTTACAATTTATAATATTTTTTATTATTCTTGAAGGTGATAGAATTAAACAAAATAATAAATAATCTATAATCTCAAATAAAATAATAAATATAATCTAGCGGACTGCAGTAAAGATGTCGATAGTTTTTGAACGAAAATCGAATAGAGGCGATAACGTTTACAATCTCATTCACTATATTAAATACTAGTTATATTTTTCGTCTATCTAAAAGTAAAAAATAATTATAAAATATTTATTAAAGTCTCGTAATAAGTATATTAAAATCGTAACATTAAACCTATATGTAGGAAATTAATTATAATAAGAGAGAAAGTTTAACAACGTTTATTGCCCGGTAATACTTTTTACAGTGACATAGAACATGACAAATTTAAATAGAAAAATAAATAGTAGGCACACAAGTTAACAAAGAGGTTGGAACTATTCATATATAAAATTACAATTAAATATTTTATGTTTACTATTCCAACATCCTCCCTTAAACATAAATCAACCCCATCCTGGAAGCACAATAATTCAATTTTGAATATGGCGTTGCTTTGGTGAGTGCATCAGCTACCATCATGTTCGTCTGTATGTACTTCACATCAATGACCCCTCCAACAACTTTATCACGTACATAGTGGTGCCTCACATCAATATGTTTAGTCCTTGGATGATAGCCATCAGAGCTTGAAAGTTTTATAGAACTTTGATTATCACTGTAGATGATCATTGCTTCATTCTTGAGCAAAGGCCAAAAACTTTCTTGAAGTTGTTTCAGCCACATAGCCTCTTGTACACATGAAGACAAAGACATATACTCTGCTTCGGTTGTAGACAGAGCAACAGTAGGCTGGCGTTTAGAATTCCAGCTGATTGTTCCTCCCTGAAACAGGAATACGTAGCCAGTACAGGAACGTCTGTCGTCCTCCGAGCTTGCCCAGTCTGCATCACAGAAGCCATGAGTCATATTCTCCTCCGAATTTTGTTTATAACTCAATCTATACTTTTCAGTGCCTTTTAAGTAGCGCATAACTCGCTTCAGGGCTATCCAGTGTGACATTTCAGGTTTGTTATTGTATTTACTTAACATATTTATAACAAAACTTATATCTGGCCTGGTAATTTGTGATATATACAATAAGCAACCAATAATCTCTTGATAAGGGATTTCATGTAAGATACACAATTTGTCAGATTTTTCTTTAAATTTTGTATTAGCATCTATTGGAGTCTTAACACTTTTACAATCTGACATCCCATGTTTATGTAACACTTCTTGTATATATTTCTTTTGATCTAAATATATAACTCCTTTCTTCCTGTCTCTCTCTATATGTATACCAATACAATATTTTATATCTCCCAGGTCCTTTATTTTAAATTGTTTTTGAAGCTCTTCCTTAACGTATTTTTTTGTGTCCATATTATTTGTAAATAAAATTAGGTCATCAACATATACAGCTAAAAAAAACATGTTATTGTTGTCCACAATTTTATAATAGATACAAGGATCTAACTTGTTCTGTGATAGACCCATTCCTTTCAGCGTAGAACTAAGCTTCTTGTTCCATTGCCTACTGGCCTGTTTCAATCCATATAGAGATTTTCTCAGTCGACATACTTGTTTACCATTGTCATACAGTGGTGGTTGTAACATATATATCTCCTCCTCTATATCCCCTTGAAGAAAGGCTGATACGGCGTCCATTTGACAAATGTCCAAATCAAATTTAACTGCCAAAGCAAACAAATATCTCAAGGAAGCATACCTTACAACCGGTGAAAATACTTCCGTGTAATCTATCCCAGGTTTTTGTGAACAACCTTTAATCACAAGCCGTGCTTTATATTTTACTATTTCCCCATTTTCATTAGTCTTTCTCTTGAAAACCCATTTGCATGGTAAAGGACGTTTGTTATCTGGAAGAGTAGTAATTTCCCAAGTATTATTTTCTAATAAGGACTGATACTCCTCGTCCATTGCTGATTTCCAATGTTCAGCATCAGTGCTCGACAAGGCTTCTTCAACAGTTAGTGGATCTGAAATCTGTTGAACACACATGAAATTATTGTGTTTCTTGTGAGATCTTAAAGTCATATTTGTTCTAAAAACATCGTCGATACTATCATCACTTGTACTGGGATGATAAGTTTCATCACTATTTGTTCTATTCAACACGCAACTATCGAAAGACGTGTCCGTACTCGAGTGTGACAAGGTATCATTTTGCGTTTCATTCTGTGAACTATCATCAACAGGTATGTTATCATTTACTGTATTTAGAGGGACATTGACAAACTGTTTGGCAGGTATGGGTTGCAGTGTGATATTATCATTCTCACTCATTGATTTTTCAATAAATATCACATCCCTACTGATTACAATCTTTTTATTTACTGGATCATACAATCTGTAGCCCTTTGTATTGTCGCAATATCCCACAAACACTAATTCTCTTGATTTACGATCCCATTTAAAACGGTTTTGTTTTGGAATATGTACCATGGCCTTAGAACCAAAAATCTTTAAATGAGAAATGTTTGGTTTCTTACCGGTCCATTTTTCATAGGGAGTTACCTCATCCAAAACTCGTGATGGTGATCTGTTGATGACATAAGCTGCAGCGGTGACTGCCTCTGCCCAGAATTGTTTATGCAACTTTGCTTCAAATAACATACATTTTGCACGTTCCACCAACGTCCGGTTAACTCTCTCTGCTAACCCATTCTGCTCAGGCGTGTATGGAGTGCTGGTCTGATGTTTGATGCCGGAAGCTGCTAGAAAATCAGAGAATATTTTATTATTATATTCTTTTCCATTATCACTTCTTACTACTTTTATTTTCTTTTCTAATTCGTTTTCTACTTCTTCTTTAAATATTTTAAACACTGACTTAATATCCATTTTGTTCTTGAGAAAATATACATATACTTTACGGGAATAGTCATCTATGAAGGTTATGAAGTATTTCGCACCACCAGCAGATGGCGTCTCCATCGGACCACACAGATCAGTATGTACTATTTCGAGTAATGCTTTTGCTCTTGAACCAGAATGTGGAAACGGTAATCGTGTTTGTTTTGCTTCACAACAGGGTATACAGACAACATCAACATTTTTATTAGTGATAGTTATACCCTCAGCACATAACTCTAACCTCTTTACATCAGCCAAATTTAAATGCCCCATTCTCTTATGCCATGTAATAATATCTGTCTTATTTTCACATGAGACAGTATAAGCATTCCCAGTAACAGTATTAAGTTTGTACATGTTATTTGTTAGAGTTGCATTTGCTATGAGAATCTTATTGGCATTGTATATATTGCAACCTATATCAGTGAATTCCACTTTACAGCCATTTTTGGTTAATTGACTAACAGATAACAGGTTCGCACTCAGCTCAGGAATATATAAAACATTTCTTACCTGGATAGGACATTTATCTTTGCAGTATATGGTCTGAATGTTTACTTTACCCATATTTTGCACGGAGATTTCATCATTATTAGCAACTGTTATATGCTGAATCGGAGATGGTTGTAAATCATACATCCAGTCATAATGTTTTGTCATGTGCATTGTGGCACCTGAGTCAATGTACCAATCATCTTCATTTACATTGCTGTAAGCTGAAAAAACTGCTGAAAAAGTATTATGGTTAGATTTCTTCACTGTGCATTGATTTTTAAAATGTCCGTATTTGTTGCAATTAAAGCAGCGTGGGCCTTTTCCTTTTGGCTTGGCATTATTCTTATTAGAGGTATTCTTGTGCTTTGTGAAGAATGCAGAAGACTCGGAAACTTTAACCTCCTGTAAAAGTTTTGTTTTGACGAAGTCTGCCGATATTTTAATGCCGGAACTTTCCAGACCCATGATCATAGGTTTATAATTGTCCGGTAAACCCGCCAGCATGAGTGTTCCCAACCATTGGTCATCTACGTCGAAACCGATATTTCGTAATTTGTATGCAGTACTCATAATTTTATTCACGTAGTCTTCGACGCTCGCGCAATTATCTAGCGATGTGTTTATTAAATCTCGCAATAAGCCGACTTTTCTTGATAACCCGGAGTCTTCGAAAGCATTTTGTAGGTTCGTCCAAACTTCTTTAGATGACTGTGCATTTTCAATATGGACGTAGTTTATTGGTTCCACCAACAAAATGATTTTTGACTTGGCTTTTGTATCTTTTTTTATGTCGACATCGGTGCCGGGATCGACACATTCCCATAAATCCTCATGTTCTAGATAAGATTTGACCGCAAACTTCCATGTCGAATAATTTTCCCGTCCGGCTAATTTCTCAATTTGTAAATTAGACATAGCCATTTTACTCGGATTGACGTTCGATGAAATATTCGCAAATTACTAATATCAACGACTGTATAGTATTTTATAGCAGTAAATATTAAACTTTGAATCTTTTTAGGTATACGAGAGGGCCCATAACCTGTAGGAAATTAATTATAATAAGAGAGAAAGTTTAACAACGTTTATTGCCCGGTAATACTTTTTACAGTGACATAGAACATGACAAATTTAAATAGAAAAATAAATAGTAGGCACACAAGTTAACAAAGAGGTTGGAACTATTCATATATAAAATTACAATTAAATATTTTATGTTTACTATTCCAACACTATACATATAATAAAATTGTTAATAAGCCGAATCTGTACCTTAAATATTTTATGGAAATTGGAAAATCTTATTGAAATAAATATTATTATCGACACAGAGGCCGTAATATAGTTTTTTGAATTTTTATCTATATATATAATAATAACATATAGGATACTTTTTATTGCTGGAAAATATCTCATCTCTGTGAAATCTGTACTAAACCTTATAACGTAAGTAGGGATGAACCCGAGCGGAGCGAGGGTGAGTCGCTACTGTTTAATTAAATGTATATCACAGAGTTATAGAGTACAACAACAAAACAAAAAAGAAATATTTGTAAAGATATTTTCATTTCAAAAATATTGCCATATTTTCAATAAGGCGAAAAACGCCGTTTATTTTGACTATCATAAGTGCGGTCACAAATAAAACGCGGGCCAACTCGTTAGTCGCCATTCATAGAATACGTTCCCTAATTATGGGAAGGTAGAGGGAATGTTGCTTAGCGTGATGAACTGTAAATATTTTATCTTTTTAGTTAAAATAATATATTTTTATAGATATTTTCCGGAAAAATTGTGTTATTTAAAATTTCAACTATACGCGTTAATTTAGGACACTATTGTTATTACATATTAATTTTATTATCGATTTTTTTATATAATATTTATTTGTACATATTTAGAAATGTAATAAATATTTTTTATTACTATTAGGAATTTAGGCAAAAGTGTCGGTTTAATTTATAAGTGTTCTTTTTTTTTTTTTAAATCCGCTACAAGTATTCGATTCGATTGTAATAAATAAAAAATAAGTATTCGATAGTAATCAAAACGTCAGCTTTCTCTTGTATGCACTATATGTAATAGTAAAAATTTTTTTGTTTATTAAAACTTTTATCTTAAAATTTCAATAAATTATATTTTTCAGTAAAACCATTCCCACTTCAACATTCCTCTTCGCACATTCCGGTACAATGTTAAAGCTGCTAACACACTTGGAGCTTTATAAGCCAGATTCACATCTGAGCGGGAAATTTATTGACGAAGATAGGAGCTGGATTGCATCGAATATAGACTGTTTCGCATCTAATGTAGCCTTTGTACTATATAAGTGAGTATACTTAGTATTATTATAGAATACTTATCGCTCGGGTGCGTCCCTACTCCCTAGGTACATTTTATGAGACCTACCTTAGGAGATAGACACTTGCTATCTTTTGTGGAGGCCATTTTAATACCTACAATTTTCTAGAACATTGTTTTGATGTATCTCTAAAGGCTTAGCGAGCGTTAGTTATTCTTAATCGTTCGAAAATAGTATTTTTGACAAAACACCTTCTAGGCTCAGCCATTTTGTACAAAATATTTATAAACTATATACATACACCTTCCTCGTGTTTCGTTTTTACTAATAGTGAAAAACGTTTCATAATCCGTTGCGTGGTTTAGAAGAAACGGAGGAACAGACAGACGCAGACAGCCACTTTGTTTTATGCTATGTAAAAAAGATTGCGTGGCGGTTGGTTTTCCCCTCGGCATGTGCTCGTTCTTTTTCTGGCTCTCTATTTTAGTACCTTAGCGTTGGTCTAGTGGCTGGCATGTTCAGCTGCAGATCCGGAGGTACTTGGTTCGAGTCTTGGTTGGGCAAAGTAAAGTTACAGAATTTAACTGTCAGAAACACACCCGTGTCTTAAAGAAGTAGTAGAGCAGTCGATGGAAGGAATAGAGAATGCATGTTGTGTGCGTACACGCCTGCACTATATACTATATTTATTGTGCAGAGGGTTAGAGTCTGTCAAATCGGTCAGTAGCAGGACACATTATTATAAAGTTTTAAATTTTATTTATTTTTTTACTAACTACTATAATACTATACACATAATAAAATTCTGAGTCGAATCTGTACATTAAATATTTTTTGGCAAATCTTATGGAAACAGTCATTATTATGGATACAGAGACCGATTCGAGTTTTTAGACTTTTCGTCTGTCTGTTTGTCTGTCGGTATATTTGATTAATTATTTATTATAATAGCATTTCCGATAAACATTTTTTAATATTTTTTAATATATTATAATATACTAATAAATATATAAATAATATAAATTTTATTTGCAGATGTAAAGATGGAGATAAATTGCTAACATTACATCAAGAAAGAGTAGTTAAGCTGCCGATGTGTAAAAGCGAATTGTGCCCGTTGTCTCATTTAAAGGAATATTTCCATAACTCAATAGAAAATTGTGACCATTCTGAGATGTGCAAGCTCGAGTAATATATATTATTTATTTTTTATTCATGATATAAATAAGTTGACAAAACGAACAAAATATAGCTGTATATACACATATCATCACTTAGGGAATTTATTTTTTTTGAAATAAAAGACAATTAATACAAATATTGACGAATATAGGTTAGAAGTTCATTTACGCCGTGTTTGAATTTCATTGTATTCATATATTGTCATCATTTTTTTTAATAATATTGTAAAAGTAAAAAAAAATATTCCTTTCCTTACAAGGAAAGCTTTTTTTAAAAAAAAAATAAACTAAGTAAATAAAAAATATGAAGAATCACAAACGTTTTACAAGACTAAATTACTTTAAGGGACGCTAGTTCGATTTCCAAGCAGGTCAATTTTGCCACTGTTATTTAACCTTGGTGACTAAGATTCGTACACACCGATGTATATATATATATATATATATATATATATATATATATATATATATATATAATTGTTAATGTACATCGGTGTGTACGAATCTTATCCGTATTAACTTCGGATATATATGTATAAAATATAAAAAAATCATATTATTTAATTATTCATGTAGTGTAGATTCGAATGGTGAGCTATACTCATTTTTTTTAACGAAAGTTATTTAACGAAAGATTCCAGTGATTTTTATTTTAATATTTTTATTTGATTTTGTTTAATTTTTTATTTTATTTATTTTAATTGTTATTATTTTTATTATAATACATGATATATTTCAAATCTGATTGTTTTAAATATAAAATACATACACATAGTAAAGATAATAAATAAGTTTTGTTCTTGTATAATTACATTTTTTCTACTAACTGTCCAGTATTAAAGCACAGTACATATATTTTTACATCGATCAAAATGTACTAGATATACAATCCCATGCAAGAGTTCTCTTAAAACTGTCACCAATTGTGTTTAGGTAATTCTAGTTAAAATAAATACATAATAATTTAAATTGAAACTTAAATGTAATACTTAAAATTGTTTTTTACAAAGCTATGTATAAAAAGTAAAAAAAAAATACGACAGAGACTCGCTGGTCAATATAATAGATCAAAACAAATTCAACCTTACACGCATGTCTTAAAGTTTGAATTACAATTCACTCAAACGGAATCAGCGCTTAACAACTTAAGTAGGCATGCGATATATAATCCCTCCACGACCGCGGACACGCCGGCGTGTCAGTTAACAATAGATTTCTTAGAGTTTTCATTAATTTCTTAGAAATTTACCTGTAGGTGTTAGTACGCTCAGTAAGAGTCTTTACAATTGAGATATTTTAAACTCCAGCTTTTATTACGACTGAATATGAAACTCCATCTTTTTTAGTATCCTAGATGTGTTATTTTTGCAATTTTTAAACGAGCACTGAGACATGTTTACAATCGGAGCGTTCGAATGCTACTAAATTAAAAGCGCACCCAAATTGTTAAGTGGGCGCTTATTCGACGAGGACAATTTTTGTCGCTGATTGTGTATCTAGTTATTTTTCAGTGATCGATGTATGTTTATGAATAACGTAGTAAATCGTAACTTAGTGTGAGCTCTGCCTTATTGTAACGAACATAATGTAAGCTGTTGTATACCAGTTAATTGTATTGAAGCTTATATTTATTTTTACACGGAAATAAAGGTTATAAATAATATGTTTGTTTTATTCATTGTATTTTTTATATTACTAGCGATCATCATTACTATCTTCATTGATTACAACGTGCTTCATAATATTTATACAATAATATAGCTATTGTAATGTTTCATTAAAATCGATTTAGTAGTTTTTGCGTGAAAGAATAATAAACATCCATACATCTATACATCCTTACAAACTTTCGCATTGACTATATTAGTAGGATTATTTATTGAATGTGTGCAAGATATAAATCTTATATAGTTCGCCCAGCAGACATATTATCCAGTGTTTTTTCTATAAATATGAAACACCTTGTAATTAATGAAGATAGTAATGATGACTAATAAAAGTATTTTTTTTAATGAATATCGGTTTAATTTCTATTGAGAAAATATCTCTTCTATTTCTTTTTAAACCTTTCGTGCCTAATTTTGAAAAACTAAAATAATTATCCAAGATAAAAGTGTCAACATAGTGGTCGTAAAATACCTGCTCATTTACTTTTAATTTTTTTTCGACACGTGCACCTCTTGGATTTTAATGAAACTTCACGTGCTATAAGACAATATATAGACAATTATTATGTATTTTTTTCAAAGTGGTAATTTAATTACATCTGATAAAAATCGATTGACAAAAATTTTATTTACATTTTTTAATACTTTTATTTAGGCTTGGGTCATAGACAACAGCTTTAAAATAAACTTTAAAGCGTATTATAACACTTACATTTAGTTTTACGTTGCTAGCTGTGAAATTAATTAAGATATATCGCTTTGAAAAAAAGTCGTCCCCGGACACTTTTTTTCAAATAGCTCTACAATTAACTAAGATATAGAGCTTATATCCACTGGATCAATTACTTTTAGTGTCCTCTACAATATAACATTGATTACGATATAGGTTCCTATGGGGGCAGTTTCGCCATAGAATTACGGCTAGTCCCTTTCATGTAATCGGTTCAGTAGTTTCTGAGCTTATTCGGTACAAAAAAAGAAAAAAAATCTTTCCTCTTAATATATATTTTTATATATATTAATATATATTAATATAATATTAGTATTTACTATTTTCTGATAAAGTATAAAGCTATGGAAAAGTAAAATTTTGAGTACATTTTTATGTTATTTTCTTCTATGAATCGCGCACTTTATGAAATAAGAAAATTGTACATATACCTGTAACCATTTAGTCTTATGTACGTACATATATAGCGTACAGAAGGGTGGTATTCCATTAATAATATATTTTGTGCTCAAAATATACTTGTCTGTCTTGATTCAGTATAAATATACTATGTAGATTAAGTCAAATGAATTTTAAATTATTTTTTTAGATACTGTCGCAGTTTTCTTTTATTTTTTTGTTCCCGAGCCTTCGAATAATTTATAGCAAACGTGCTCATGAGAGAGATTTAAATTTCTTGATGTCTCAAAAGTTATAGCTATTACATATTAAATTGTTTAAAATTGTGCTAACTTCGGTGCCATTTCTCTTTTCTCACAAATTATTATATATTTTTTTGATACTAATACTAATTATCTTCTCCGTATAATTTGATTATACTTTTACAACAAACAATATCCACAAATTATGTAATGATCTTATTAGTCACTAGCGGCTCGCCCTCGCTTCGTTGGGGTCGCCTCTAGGATATTGTTGTGTACTAAGCTGTATAACCTATTAGTTTTTTAACTATCCCACGGGAATCTTGAATTTTCCGGGATGAAAAGTATCTAAAATGTTGACCGGGGATATAAGGTACCACCGTGCAAAAGTTCATTTAAATCGGTACAACAGTTTCGGAGATTAGCCCGTACAAACAAACAGACAGAAACAAAAAAATTGAAAAAAATCTCGATTTGTTTTTTTTTGTGTTCTTACATCCCCCTGACACGATTTTTAGCTTTTTTTTCTATTTTCAGACATTCGACCTCTACAGTTTTATTATACGTATAGATAAGTTTAATTAGCTAGGTTCTCTCACTTAATATGCAGGTGATACTCATATGAATCTTAGAGGTGCGCAACTTGGGGTTTGAACCTGCTTCACCTGGCTTTCTATGCGAGCGCGTTACCACTGCGTTTATCCTAAGTTTTATTTATTTAAATGCTCATAGATTATAGTTTAACAATGAAACGTTTTTTGTAAAAAAAAATGAATTTACAAGGCTAGTAGTTTACTTATGATCTCTTGAAAATTTAAAAGAAAAATTTAATGAACACTACTTTAACTGCGTTTTATGTGAGAAGAGAGATTTCTGCTAAATGAAGATCACACAATCTCCAAATTGGTGCTTGACCTGTGACCCCAGAATATTATTATTCAGTTCTAGTTAGCTTTCAGCAAAATTAAAGTTATGAAATCAATCTATTTCAGTAAGCATTAAAAACTCATACGATGTATGCTGCAAATATATCGTTATTTGTTTAATTAATTGCCATTCCATATATTTTGCACAAAAAAAACCCTTTTTTTGTCGCTGGTGAAACCCATCATGGGGACCCTGCCCGCCGTCATAACGGACAAGGTACTGTGAGACTCCTACTCACTAAAACCCACAGCGGAACCCTTCGCCGCAGTGCAATGGGGCGTTGCAGGATCGCTTGCGCATTCACTACAACACCCCGCACAAATAAGACCCTAGCATATCGGAATAGGAGAGCGATGTGGATAGTGAGCACTTGTGTTTGCGCGTATATGCCAGTTTTAGTGAGATAGGCAGCAATGGCGGAAATCGGTCTTGACTCTAAGAGGACATAATATTATATATACCATTTTATTAAAAAATATCCAGTAGCTCAGTCGTAACGCGCTCGTTTGGGAAATTAAGTGAAGCGGGTTCAAACCCCGGGTTTCGCACCTCTAAAATTTTCATGTGTGAATCATTTTAACCATCTATACACATATTAAGTTAAAAGGAGTTGTCGTTATGAATATTGCTGTTAATTGTTTTATTCTTTTGTGACAAGTTGATCCTATCAAAAACATTACTGTAAAAAATTGCAAGTCTCGCAACGCATTTCTTCTACCGCAAAAAGCTATGAGATATGATGTAAAACCAAGTCGGTTAATTAATTCATTACCTATCTATGGAAGCATCTATCCGACAACTTTGTCATAAATCGTTACCGAATCAGTTAAGTTACAACATTTTATAGTGATCGTATTAATATTAGATATATTTATTTATTTAATTAATAGAATAATAATTATAATCTTTAGATGGTTAAAATAGACGTGTAAAGTTAAAAGGAGTTGTCGTTATGAATATTTTTGTCGGTGGTGTAGTGGCTAGCATGTACGGCTGCACACCCGGAGGTCCTGGGTTCGAGTCCCGGGTCGGGCCAAGTTTAG